AGTCGGCAGACTCGGCTCTGGCGCTGTTCCAGCTCCGGCGCCTCCAATCAGAATGGTATCAAATGCTCTTTCAGGCAGACTCGGCGCCACTCCCCGATGTTGCCTCTTTTATTTGGCAGATGTGTCTCGAGATGAGGGAATGGCACGAGTCGTTACCAGATAACCTTTCGTCCGGTATCCGTGAACTCTTCGAGCTCGAGCTGAGATACAGCTACATTTACTGCCTCACACCTAGTGATCGGTCTCCTCATCTGACCGACTATTCTCGAAAGCTTATTTTCGAACACGCTATCTCGTACATGAACACCATCCACAACGTCATCCACAATGCTACAAGTACGGCATTCTACACCTCGTTGGATGCTCTCAAAGTCTACTTCGTGGCCATGCAGTTTCTCACCGTCTTGAATGATGCCCGTGAGCTGCTCATCTCTGAGCAGAGAATCATCCCGCCCATTAACCGTCCAGGGACGGCGCCGCCGCAGCCCCTTCCGCACCGCCCTATTGGTGCCGAAGACAGCCTGGATAGAAGCATACGATGCCTGCAGCAGATCGTTGAAACGCTCGGCACGTGTTCTCAGCGGTGGGACATCGCCTCTCAGCTGAAGACGACCTTTGAATCCATATCTTCGGAACTCTTCTCCTGGCTGCAGGTTCGCCGACAGATGAGGGAACAGGGGCAGGTACCGCAGCAGCAACAGCAACATGAGCAACAGCAACATCAGCACCATCAGCACCATCAGCACCATGAACCACAACCTCAACAACAGCATTACCAACAACACCAGCAGCCTCCCCCGATGCCTCAAGGACCCTCACATGCCCAACATCCATCCTACCCTCCCCATCCTCACCATCAAGTACTCGTGGGCCCAGCTCAGACGCATATGCAAGGCATGATACAGCCTCAGTCTCAGCAGGGGCAACCTATGATGCATTACAGATGGGTCGATGGGACGGGGTCGACGATGCCTGGACCTCCAGGACAGGGCGGCCCATCCATGTGAGCCGATGGAGTTTTGAAGGGAAATGATTTGACTTGCACATAGATAGCTCAGTATCCCCCATGTATTCTCATGTCACTAGGCAGCGTTGTCTGCAAAAAGGATTAGGTTTAATTTCATATTTTCCTTTTGCCAACATCCAATCTTCTCTCGTATTGTGATTTGATGAAAATAGTACATCAATGTGTATTGAATATAACGTACTTTATAACCATACACTCGAGGGCCGCTCTCAAACGCCCTGCTCCCTCTCGGACTGCTGTATCTGGGCGCTGTTCTTGCTCCCCGTGGCGATGGCCGGCTCGTGATGGCGGCCGCCGCCCGACTCCTCGGCGCCCATCATCTGGCCGCCCTTCTCAGTGTGGTCGACGCCGCCGAAGAGGGCGTCCATCTGCTCGAGCGGGATCTGCTTTGTCTCGGGGACGCAGAAGTAGACGAAGGCACCGAGGACCATGTTCATGGCCATGAAGAAGAAGAGGCAGCTGAGGCCCGCGTTGGCGAGGAAGGTCGGGAAGAACTGCTGGAAGATTGTGTTGGCGACGTTTTGCATCTGCGAGCACATCCCGACGGCCTGCGCGCGCACGTTGACGGAGAAGATCTCGGCCGTCCACATCCAGGTCGTCGCGCCCCAGGTTGGCTTATAGAAGAAGATGACTGCGGGGCCGTGGTTAGCTTGACGTTGATTCTCTTCTTCTTTTCTGTCCCTCACCCCCTTTGCCCCCCCCCTTTTTTGGGGAACGAGAGACGGAATCGGTGGCTTACATAGGAAGAGCAGGAAGACGATGACAATCCCGACGGGCTCGCTCTTGGTCCCGTCCGCAGCCGTCGGCGTCTTTAGGCCGACGATGGGGACGATGAGCATGCAGACGGCCATGCCGGCGGCGCCGACGAGGAAGAGCCAGCGGCGACCGAAGCGGTCGGCCGTCCACATGGCGTTGAGCGTGAAGAGGATGCCCATGGTGGCGTTAAGGGCGTTGATGAGGTTGATGGTGTCGGTGGAAGGCCAGACCTTCTTGTAGATGGCGGTCGAGTACGAGTTGAGGGTGCCCTGGCCGGTGAGCTGCTGGCCGACGTTGAGGGCGAAGGCGAGGTAGAGACGCTTGCGGACGGAGGGGTCCCGGAAGAGGGCGGCGTAGCTGCTGCGGCTGATGGCCTCCTTCTCGTACTCGATGGCCTCGCGGATCTGGAGGAGCTCCTCCTCGACCTCGTGCTCGGTGTCGCGGATGCGCATCAGGGCGGCGCGGGCGGCCTCGACGTTGCCGTTCTTCAGGATGTGCCAGCGCGGGCTCTCGGGCTGGAAGGGCAGGGCGGCTATGATGATTATGGGGACGAGCATCTGGAAGATGACGACCATGCGCCAGTCCCACTCGCCGAGCTGCTCGCGGCGCTTGGAGCACGCGTCTGCAATCGATCTGTTAGTCTCGTGGCGGCGTCACACGCATATAGTTGCTAAGAGACGTGCAAAAGGGGGAAAGAAGGGGAAGGTGGGTTATACGAACAGTTGATCCAGTACGCGATGAAGGAGCCGACTGAGTAGTACATCTGCCAGCAGGTCATGATGTGGCCGCGGATCTCGGAGGGGGCGACCTCGCCGATGTACACGGGTCCGGCGGTCAGGGCCATGCCCTGGCCGATACCGATGATGACGCGGCCGGCGATGAAGACGCCGATACGGTGGTGAGGGGTGAAGGTCTGCATGATGGTCGCGACGATGGTGACGATGCAACCGATGGCCATACCCCAGCGGCGCCCGAAGTAGTCAGCCTGCGACGAAGCCTATCAGTTGGCCGGCAGCTATGAGGAAGGTCCACGACGGAGCAGAGCGCGTAACGGGGGGGAGTCGAGGGTCACTCACGACGGGGCCGCCGATGAAGAAGCCGGCAACGATGGCGCCAATGGTGTAGGCCGTGTTGATGAGGCCCAAGAGCTGGGTGTCCTTTTTGGGGTCGACGTCAACCCAGGCGAGCCAGTTCTGGGAGCCCTGGAGGGAGTTGAAGACGGACGCGTCGTACCCGTAGAGCACCATGCACATGGCGGCCACCAGTGAGATGTACCTGCGTTGGCGTGGTCAGCATTTCGCGCTTCAGAGCCTCGAAGGCGTGGGGAAGAGAGCCTATAGGTCATCGCACCAGTTGTACACCCTTTTACCGGTGGGAGCCATCTTGACGATCTTCCCGTAGGACAACCTATAGAGAGGGTGTGGGGTGGGGAACGGAGAACAACGTCAAGAGAGAAACGAGAGGAGAGCGGTCGGGCAGCTCCAGCTGAGAGGAGGTGAGGAACCGAAATCAAGCAGTCGGCCGAAGGGGGATAGATAAGACGGGACGTTTATCTTTAAAGGCTCAACAAAGACACCGGCCGGTCTACATCAAAGTATAGTAGTTGTACCCACAGCAAGAAACTTAAATATCCTTTGCCCCAAGTTTCCATCTCCTCTTGTTCCTCGGTTTGAGATACGATTAAATGGCTAAAGGGAGACAGGATATGGGCCAGACGCTTCGCCATAATTCTCGGGGGGGGCTGTCCGGCATAGCTAGCGTTTGCTTCGGGGGAGCGGAGGTGGATGTTTGGCAGGCGAGGCACCGAGCATATGCATCGCATCAGCGCTTCGATTCCTGAGGTTCCCCTTCGTCGAAGCCATCACCGCAGGTACATGTCGTCACATCTGATATCTTCACACCCGTCCACACATCCCCGGGCAACACGAGCCGAGCTGCGGGACAAGAGATGCGGCGACAGAAGCACGTCTCTTGGCGTGATACAGACTCTCTCGTCTTCGCCCCCCTTGTCGTTGTTCTCCCACCCGGGAGACGTCTGAACTGGCGGGGAAACCCCAGGTAGGACGTTCCACCAATAGCAGTTCTACCTGCCGTTACATGGGCAGGGGATCTACACTACAAGTGAGCCAGCCAAACATGGTCAAGACCACGGCGTAGTGGTCTGATCTGGGCTGGGTAAACGCTTATTTTCTTAACGTCAAACGCTCGACTCGACTCGCCCGCGAACCACCCCGGATTCGTTTGTGCAGTCGCAGAATCATCGGCGGAGATGCTAACGACTTCGAGAAGGTAGGTCGCGTCCCCCCCCCTTATCGCACACCCTCTACGGGTGCGCTTCCGGGGGGGGGGGGGGGCTTGGCGTTGTTGATGGCGGCTGTTGCTACACATGCGCGTTCCCCCTTCCAGTCCATGCCGGGTCCCGGCTCTGGCCACGCCTCCCCTGTGGGATGAGCATCGACTCTTGTAGGTGTACGCTGTGCTGTTTGTGCCTGTGGATTCACAAATCAGATACTCGAATGGGCTGGAGTTGCTTCACGCACATAAGATTCTATTGAAATTAATTGATGAAACCCGTCCGGGTCCGTTGCCGGAGAATGCTGCGCTGATTTCACCCCAAAAAAATGTGACACCACCCAGAAGACATGCCGCCGCGATGTTGTTATGTTGGGGACCCATCAGCCCTGCATTCATCTTGTAGACGATCCAGTTCCAATGCGACGTGACTGGGACGGATTCAGCCGCCACAGAACCGCGGTTGCCGTGGAAGAAAGCTGCTCGTGCCGAGATGCTTTACGGGATTTTGGCTTCAGCGGCGTGGGGGTATGATATGAAGCGTAGGAGACTCACAATTAGATGGTGCAAGCCTCATGTCAGAATGCTTTTCAATATTTACCTTGAGCCATCAGGGCAGCCAAGCATGGCCGTTCCCGTTCCGCGCATCCCGCGTTGGCAATGCAAGCCATCCGAAGCCCGCCGAGTGCCATGAGGCATGCATGCGCTTGATATCGCACCCATTTTGCCCATTATCCAGCCCATTGTCACCGGCCTTACAGCATCGTAACCGCTTGGTTGCATGCGTCCCAAGGTCCTTGACCGACGGCACTCCCTTGTCGTCGAGTCCTAGTAGCCTGAGAAAACGTGGCGGGCAATTTGGGCCGAAAAGGATGAACAGCATCATCGCTTTCAACTCTCGACGGGGCGAATGTCTTCGCTGATGCGTGTCTCAAAATCTTCACTGAATCCACATCTGGAACTATCCCAGCGCCTCCTGGCATCGTAACCCCCGCAACTCTCTCTCTCTCCCCGCCTCACTACCCCCGGACCCCAGAGTCGATGCCGCAGTCCGGGGACGCAAGACCGGGTCTGCGAAATGAACTCCAAAAGTCACAAAGTCCCACAAGTGCCCCCGTTTGTCCAACCCCCGGGGAATGAGATCGCGCCGAATAGAAAAGAAAAGAAAAATAGGGCCGTCGAGCGAAGAGGAGGGGATCCGCTCGCCGCGCGCGAACGTGATTGATGGAAGAAACAAGCCTTCCCTAGACGCGCGCTCTAGATGGACGCCAGCGAAGGCAAACGCGTATGATCCTGGGGGGGAGATGATCGTACTCACCCATGCGCACGGCGCACGCACAACCCCCATGCCAGTTAACAATCCCGCCGCCGACCTCGTCGGGTTATGGAGAGACAGGCGGACACGCGGCTTCTCGGAGAGGCGAGAACCCAAAGCAAGGATAATCGCGCTTGGGAAAACGGTCGCGGTCATACAAGGGATACCCTCAACTTTACTTCTGAGACGAGCATATTTTTGACAAGTCGGTTCCATAGCCATTGACCTAGCGAGGCATGTTCACTGGCAAGGTGCTGCAGTCTGGTAGGCAGTTAGGCGGGCAAGGAATGCTGGGGCCGACTTTCCATTACCCCAGGCCGCTCATCGATTATCTGTGGCCAACTGCTTGCGTGTCGTGGGAGACATCTCCATGTTGGAGCAATGTCAAAAAAAAAAAAAAAAAAAAATCAAGCCTTTGGCTCAACTAACTATCACTTTCAAGCGGTCGCGTCAACGGTATGAGCAGCATCGCTGACGACCGGATTGACATTACTGCTCGCCGCACTGTCCGCCCCTGTGGTATCCTTCGTCTTCTTCTGGCCAGACCTTTTTTTCCGCCTGGCGGTCCCGAGACTCACAGCTGGAGCCTCCAATACCCATCTCGCGATCGCGGCTGCGCGCTCCGTCAAGATGGGGTAGTCTCTCCCGTCATCGACGCTCCACCGGCGCAAGGCGGGAGACGTTTGCCCGCTTCCTCCGGGCGCCGACGTCCCATTCGAGCCGTGCTTCAGTTTCACGAGGTAGTCATGGTCTTCCTCGGCGCGCTTCTGGCGTGCGGTGATGGCCGCGCGGAGGCTGGCCTCGTCGGTAACCCTATCGTCGTTCAACGAATCCATGATGGCCTGCTGACGCACCCTTTCCTTACGCTGCTCCTCGCTCTCGCCTACGTCAGGCAACGTGCTCGTGTCTCTGGTAATGGCGGCAGCGGCGAGGGCGGCTGCCTTGGGGGACGGATGGGTCTTGCTCTGCTGCTCGGCGAGCGGTCCGTCTAGAGTCGGAAGGGGAGCAGGGGCGCAGAGCTGCTCCCAAGATGCGGCCATCTGGATCCAGTTCTGGGCCCTCCGCAGGACCTCAATCCAGTCTGCCCTCGCTGGGGACCTACTTGCTTGGAAAATCGGGTACCCGTCAGCAAGGCGGGCAAGTCGAGCCACCATATACGCATGACGAAGAAGCTCCTTGGTGGACGTCTGGACCAAGCAGTGGCAAAGCAGCAAAGAATGGAGGGCGTCCGTCAGCAGCGGATGATAGGTAATGGCTTCAAAGCTACCTGGTTGCACCGGGTCCGATGAACGTAACACCTCCTGGGACGGGTAAGGTGGGATGTCGGCAGGCGGGACAGCAGCAAACAGGTCGGAAAGAGGGTGTATCTTGTAGGGTGATGGAATTCCTGTGTCCGGGACGCGAGGGTGGCGAATGCCATTCGCGGCGAGGTTGACCTTCTCAGTAAACTCCTTCGCTACTTTCAGAGGCATATCTGGTGTATAGTCGAATTGCGACAAATAAGCCATGTAATCCCGAAGCGCTCTCTTGGCGTATGTCTTGACTAGCTTGCGATGCTCTAGCCGCCTGGTTGCTTCCTCCTTGTCTGCCGCCGTGGGTTCCCGGACCTTCTCACCGACCACTGGCCCATTCTCTGGCTCGTATGTTGCATTCGTGTTGTTCGCCCGTGCCGCCTCTCCATTCGCAGGACTCGCTGGTAAGCCGTCCACCACGTGTTGGCAGGCAATGGTCAAGTACACCCCGGCACGCTGAAAGAGCAATTGCGTTTCCAAACTGCTGGGCTGCTGTTCCTCCGTCAGAATCACGTCCTGGCTTCTGCGCGATCCGTTGACAAGCTGTAACTCCTGGGACGATGGCGTCTTGTGCAGTGGCTGGTGGAAACGTTGCACTTGCAGCGCGGTGCTCAGGTCCTGCGCGGCTCCCTCGTAGTCGTCCTTGAATACCCGGACCGTAGCTCTGGTTCGCAGTGCCTCTCCCTCCGTCGGGCGCGCCGAGATGACCTCGTTCAGGGGCTGCAAACTGGTGCACTCGGCCATTTGTCGCGAGGGTATCTTTTCGTGAAAGAAATGAACATATTTTGCATCCGGGTCATCCTTGCTGCGTTGCAGCACAAGAGACCCGATTTCTTCAAGGGGCGAAGCGCCTTGCATGGTCGCAACACTACAAGCGATCTCGTCCAGACGGTATGCGCGGGAGAGCTTTTGGCTCGCCTGTTCTCTCATTCGGAATTTGCGCTCCTTGCTAAGCTTTGTGCCGTGACCGTTACCCACCCCGAAGCCCAGCGATGACATGTGCCCATTGAGTCCGCCATGGATGTTCGTAAGCGTCGGCGAGGCTATATCGCTGGCCGCCCGGACGGCCAGGTTGGTGGCCTCGTCCACCAGCCGGCGGATTTTGAGGAGATCGAAGAATACAGCAGGGTCGATCGGGCGCGGTCGCGGGGTGTTGTAATTGATATTCGCGATGGTTTCAAGTATCTCGATGGGCATCTGCAGCCATGGCCCGTGAAAGGAGGAAATGAAGCGCCAATGCCTGCCGCGCAATCTCTGTTAGTGAAGGGTATCCCGTTGGGCGTTTCCTATCCTAGCTGACGCCAATGGCGCATCGCCTTTGCGCCGACGGGGAAACCGAGCAACGATCCATGGGGGAAAGGACGGACTTATTGCGACATATGATGAGTGCAGGAGCTGTATCGGCAATTGCGCTTGCAGCCTTCTTGGCAGCCGAGTCCTTGACTGAGCCGTTTGAAGAGACTTGCGATGCGCTTCCACCAGGCACGCCCTCGCCGAACTCGTCGAACGCCGTCTGCTTGTTTTTTTTCTTGACCATGTTTGCGCACAAAGTTGGTAGCGATTCAAGTGAGATTTCGGGCCAACAATAGGACCGCGGGAAGATCGTCAAGCTTTCTCAGGACGAACACGGACTCGAGGGACGGTGAAGGTGGGAGATTGATCGTCCAATTGTTATTCAGCTCATAGTAGCAAATTGTCCTTTCCGGCTCAGCTTGTTCCGTATGCGCAATGTCGACAGCGAGCAAGCGACAATCCCGTTTCCAGAGTGCGCGCGACACATTCAGCTGCGAATTCCTCCCTCCCCACCCATCAACAAAGGAAGATGATTGTTCTTTCTTTCGAGGCATCGAGGGGCAGTGGCAAAGAGATAGCTCACGTGATCGATCACGTGACTTTGTGGATGCACGAGGGTCTTGCCAATCGAGAGCAAGTCGATGTTGGGCGGATAGGTACCAAACAATATACTGTATATTGGTTCTATTCATTCGAGTACATGTATTTCTGTTCCAAGAGAGTTCATACGATGTTGTTCTTTGGGAGCTGACTGAAATGACTGAAAGATGCTGATCATTCGCAACCTAGCTACGTCATACATGGTTGACTTATCACTACGAAAACTTCGGCAATTTAAAGTCTAGTTTTAAGTACCTTCCTTCGAAAGCAAGTGGACGAAGACGGATCGTGAAGGGGATAGCAAGACTCCCCAGCCATCCAAATGTTCTTGGCTGACGCATTCAGTATATAAGAATTGGTAGCTGCGCTTGGAGCCAAGTCCCATCCGTTTAGTTATTTATACAAAACTCCTCCAATGACTTACCAGTTTGTTGTCAACTTCAACGTGCTGCACGCCTTCAATTAATACCAGAAGCTATGTCGGCAACATAGACCTTTCTCTGGATGAGCCGTCAACCGCTTTGCCTTTCGACTCGCAACATATACGGCGATTCCATAATTAAGGCTTCATAGTTCGTAATGGCAAGAGTGGGCCTGCAATTACCACTGCTGCACTTGTACCTGCAGCCAATGTACACCCCCTCAGTTTCCTAAGAGGGTTAGAAGACTAGTACTTAGACCTGATAGTTAGGTATATCTCACCGAAGTTTAGGCTACATGTCGTTTCCTTGATGTTCTTCCTGAGGCCCTATATGTACTATATAACACCTAGCTTAGCGCCTAACTCAGTTACATTATCCCGAGAGGACGTTCTGGGGAAGAGTTAAACCTACAGTGCCGTGCCGATAAAATGATGCCATTTATCGTCTCTAGAAACAGAGATGGCAGGTTGAATCATTGCTATTGAGCTATCTGCGATTTGGGACTTCAGAGGGTTTGACTATCTGTCGTCATGGCAAGGCCTGAACGTACTGTAGGAATCCTGCACGGATACGCGATCCCTTGAATAGAGTATTTGATCACAATAGATCAACGACCATGACAGAAGTCTGAAGTCCGAGCAATCCTTCCGTTGCGACCAAGCCATCATCACCAAGCTTCCAAGCAACGTTTCCCCAAAGAACCTTGACGACGTTGCCAACCTCGACACTCTCCGGAAGTACGACCCTAATCTCTCCCTGGATCCCATCATAGCCAAGGTTCACAACACTGATTAAAGCCTGCCCTTTTTTGCTGTCCACCCACACGGCTGCGTCGACCCTATTAGCCCCCTCGACCACAAGATCCTGTGTCCTTTTGGTTCCCAGCAAAAACCCAACCGCGGTCTCATCCGTGAATAGCCCAGCCAAGCTGCTCGTCACACTCTCCAACTCATCCGTAGCCGGATAATTCCACATAACGATGCCCTTCGCACCGTGGTTTACCGCCAAGAGCGTCATCACGACCTCCTCATCCGCCGTCGGGTACCGCGCCCAAAACGTCTCGTTGCCGAATGCCTGTGGGGCGAACCACTGTGTCTTTTGCCATCCCAGTATCTCATCACGACGATAAAACTCGTCCAGCCGTACCGATATGTCCTCGAACTTGCCCTCACAATCGTCGCAACCGCAGCAACCATATGTCGCATTGCACTCCGTGCCGTAGACCGTCGAGAATGTTGCATTAATGGCCACTGGGTAGACGTCACTCATGACGATATCAGCGCCGGCAGCGTACTCCGCGTAGTGGAAGTCCCAGCAGTTTATAGCGAGGGAGACAGGGTGGTACGGGTCAATGGCTTTGATATGCTCGTAGGCAAGCCCAGTCGAATTGGCGGGATTTGCTTTACCGTCGGCTTCATCGCTCTGATACCACAGCAGAATAGACGGATGGGTTCTCAAACGGGTGACTTGATCAATCATGTTTGTGAGGTTGGGCCACGTCCACAGGACATCATAACGAAGATAGAGGCCTAGCTCATCGGCGCGCTGTAGATACGGCTCAAATTCGTCCCAGGGGAATGGGATCTCACCGAGGCTTCCTGTAGGAACAATGTGGATGACATTGTATCCCATGGCGGCAAACTCATTGAGTGTGTCGACGCTCTCGTTCCAATAAAGAGTCCATTGTGCTGCAGTCAGTCAGCAAAGTGTCCGAGAAAACAAAAGGGCTTTCTCACTGTAGTAAGTGTACGCAAATATGACATCCCAAGGTGCATCCTTTCCTCGCTGTGCCAAGAGTCCACCATAAAGATTATCGATGCGGGCTACGCTGCCGTAATCTTCCGGATAAGGCAGGTAAGAGAATTCGGTCCAGGCCTCGTAGACATGTGTCGAATCTAGCGTTGCGCGGACTGTAATGTTGTAGGCCGCCATACGGGGGACCAAGGCATCTACTGCGAGAGATACCTCATTGTCTCGCGATCCAAGAGCAATTTTTTGTGTTGTGAGCACTTTGTTTCCAAGATATATCTCAACAGCCAAGGGCTTTGGCGAGGAAATCGAAGAGTTTTGTCCAAGCCCAAGAGGAAGTGGTGAGCCGACCTTATTTGAGACAGCGGCGTCGATGAGGAGGTTAGCGGTTGAATCGGTTTCCAGGTAAATGCTGAGGCGCGGCCGTACTTTGAGTCGCAACAGAGGGGCATCCGAGACAGCAGGCTCAGGAAACCATCCGCCCGGATCAAAGGAGGAGTCGCTGTTGAGCGAGATGAGTTAAATCGAGAGTTATCAGCAACACGGGGCGAGATGACCTACGCCGCACGATAGGCCTTGCCACACCATATGTCTACGCCCTCTGGATTGTTGAACCGGACGGCTTGTCCTTGAACCACAGAAAACCACACAACCAAAGTTGCAATGACTTGAGTGATCTTGGAATATGTCATCTCGGCCAAACAACGTCCTCAGCAACCTCGAAAAGCGTCACTGGCGAATTCGCCATGATGCTAAGTGATAGGACTTATATGAGCGGGGATTTAGGCGATTGACGACCCCCCCCCCCCCCCCAGTTCTGGATTGTTGCTTCGAATGCAGCTGAGTGGGCCACTGTACGTACTCATGAACCACGCAATGGCTACGAATGACCCGAGGTGCCATTGCTCCGACGAGATTGCCGCTAACTCTTATTCAATCATTAATCGAGCGAAATGCGCAAGGTGGGAGGATCTCGGCATGAATTATCCGACAGCGACGTTACATCTCTCCAAATCTCCAAAGCCCACGACGTTAAGCTGGGGGGTCAAGAAAGAATCGGGCCCGACTACCCATGTAGAGATAAGCAAGGGTCGTGGAGGTGTCCTTTATCGCAATCACCGTACATCTATCGTACCCCGGTTTTCGGGGTATGACGTTTACACCGTCAAAGTTGCTCATTTTTCAAGGCCTGCATAGTGTTACGATTCAGCTGCTCAGCACAGCCCTAAATGTGGCGGAGAAAGAAGCTATGAGTACCACCACCACCACCAACAGACCTGTCACCAAATGCTCCGATGAACTCCAAGTCTCAAGAAAGTTAAGCCAGCTGTGAAGTTACCGGCTACAAGGATTGTCTTCGTGGGGTTTCGATTGGCAAAGTGACTGAGCTATTACATGATTGAACCGTATCACAAACAGTCCAAATTTGACGCTTGAAGGATAGCTTGAACATACTCAACAAAATTTACCACAATATAATCTTTTTGATTGAGGGAACCCAAAATCGCCCTTTAAGGTGACCGGCATAGTGCGCGTACTCTTATCAAGTTACGGAAATCCTGTCTCATAATTGCGCCCTCTTCCCAATTAGGTCGACTACCGGTATCATCTTTGTTGCGACCCCGCCAGAATGCTCAATGAAAGTTTGCTTATCCTGGGCACTTTGCCGACCAACCCAAACCTCCCACCCCGAAAGAGTTAAGCGGTGACTTGACAGGAGGTGTAATACTCTAGGAACCTCTCGAGCTTTCTCGTGTAAATGGTAGACTGAAGAATCTCCATAACAGCGCGATGAAGGTCTGGTATTATCGCGTACTCATGGTTCGATCGTGAGTAATAGTGCACTAGTCCCACACGTGAAGTGGAATGGGGTAAATAAAACCAAAACAACCTTGATTATATTGAGACAAACGGCCTTGGTGGGCTTGGCTACTATATACAGCTATCCATACTATCAATGCTCTCAGCATTAACTATATACGGTAGCTCTCTCGGAAAGCGTGCTACTTCGATCGTGTTATCATCGTTTGGATATGGGAGTTCAACTCTAGGCGCTTCTATACTGATTACGAAAGTGTTGGAGAAAGCTCCTTAGAAAGATTGCCTGACGCTCAATCTACCTGCAACTGGTTTCATGGGTATACATTATATTTGACTTGAGTGCCACTGGCCATAGGCATATCATGCGTGTTGGCCCTGGTTAACAAACCTTGTACTCAAGTCTTCAGCAAGAGCTCCTGACGCTCAGGTCCATAGAAGCTCGCACGTCATCTCTATTAAAACCAACAGGTGCTTCTAGAACACCATTTAGGACATCTAAAAAGCGGACTCAGGATCATCATAATACATGTATCTATACGCAGTGCTTTTTGAATAGATGCATCTATCATAGTCTGTTTACCTCACACACATGACTATATAATTGATGAGCTTCCAGTCATGGAGGTGTCGGAGGCATGGAAAAATAACACGGAGGTTTTCTCTACATCTAATGTATTCCAAATGAATTAGAATAAGACTCCATCCACTTCATTCTACCCAAAGATACAAATACATGTCCCCAAGAAACTTCTGGAGCAGGGAACCAAAAAGTCGATCGCCAAGACATTAGAGCTAAATTTATCACTTTTGTTCTGTTGGAAACGACAGCTGAAGCGCAATGAAACTTCGAGTTGATTTTAAGCTAACACTCTCATCGAATCAACGGCCTCAGCCTGTGAAAGGGTGGTCAAAAAGGTGTAAGTCAGACAAGTTAAGCTTGGACACGTGAACTTTGTGTCTTTTAAAGAAACGTCCCAATCTGATGAAATGGAGTGACATCTCGCCTCCTATCATTTCAGACCTACTGTCTGCGGTTTCATGAGCTTTCGATGCATGGTTTCAAAGGTCTGACAAAACCAATGCTTCGATACCCCGGTGCAAAATCTGACAGAGCATCGGAAATGCTGATGCATGTTGGTACGATACTATTTTTTTTCCAGTTTATTCCAGACAAAGTTGCAAGGTGGCGCAGGATGGAAGCTTAGGCTAAAGAAGTTGGACGACAGCTGCAAGGGAGAGATGAGCCGATGATGCCACTGCAACATGATCCCACCCGGCAGTGAAACCGAAATGCCATGGTTAAATTGGCGGTCTTCCATATGAACTTGATCAGTCTCTTTTATTCTGAGTTCGGATTGTAATGTTTGAAGTTGCAAACCTTTTTAAGCTTCTGGGCTTCTGACTTGTACGGAACTAGCACCTCAATCAACCAAGAAACAAAGACAAACGTTAATTTGGCGATGCTCGGCTTACCCATACCATGACTGACTGCGTGTTAAGACCCGTTACAACTGTGTGGCTCAAGCCTTATATCATAAGTGCATCGATAAGCCGTGTATCTCCACTTTCGGCCGCGGGAGACATCATCGGAACGGACGGGAACATGGCCCGCCTTGAAGACTATGAGCCTAGCCGGTGAGCCGGCCGCCCTATATCCCGCAAAACACTACGCCGGAACCCTTGCCCAGTGAAACGTGGATTTGATGTGCAGCGTCTGAATCCCATCTTGCACTTTACTCTTGCCCTTAGGGGCTAAACTACCCAAGCGAGTTGCGTTGCGCCGTTTCGCCGAAGAACTAAGCCAACAGCTAGATTTCCATTTTGATTCAGTAGCGTCTGGTAGACGGGCGAAAAAGAAGCCGAAATATATTCCGGAGAGTATTAATGAGCTGCGAAGGGTGCTCGAAGGGATTGTGGGTGCTGCCCTCCATGAGGATGGCTTAGCCGACAAGAGTAGGCTGTCGCAGCCTAGCCAAAACGGCGCGACCAACAATCAGGCGGTACATGCTGAGAAATCAAACCAATAGGAACTTGGACACTGAAGAGATGCTGGCTTCAGGCCTCAGAAGTCGCTTCCGAACTTTTCCAATCTTCAAGTGAGAATGAACATGGTTCCCATATCCCCGTCCGGAATTCTGGATGATGATAGGTATTGGACTAGACGAGGAAGCCAGTCGCACCTCGGAGCACGACGTGGGGATGATCTGCGAATGAGACGGCGGATTCGGCCGAGCGATCAAAGCGCGTAAGGTACAGGATTCCTGAACCTAGAGATTCGGTCTAAATGTTTAGTTTCGATTATCCAAACTCCCCAGGGATGATTCTAGATCTCGGCCAGTTTCGGATGCAGAGCTAATCAGAGTTATCCAATTATGTACTAGCCTACTACAACATACTGCAGCACTCAACAAGATTTTTTTAATGACACCAGTAAGAAGGTTTCTTACCCTAGTGTCCTTGTAAGATAAATGGGATGACATGTTACAAAGAATGATGCTCACTCCAACAACAACACGGACCAAACATTGATGAACTAAAATTCACTCCATACGTAGAATGACCAACCATCCGCCACCATAAGTCTCAACTCAAAGTGAAGTCGCACGGGAGCTGACAACGAAACGACACTGGCGTCCAGGTTTACAGGGACCTGCCATACATGTAAACACAAGGTTTCTGCCATTCCATCATCTTCCGTCTCAGCGAGTGGGATACCTGCGGTCGTTGTGGCCAAGTCAGCCGTGAGGATTGGTGGTTGTTGAACTTTGTGAAGCTCTGAGCGAGCTGCTCCTGTCTGGGGAATGAGTTTTCTTGGCAAGTTAATGAGTTCAATTCCGCCGAGATGCCGGTGAACCCAGGCTAGCGGGCTGTGGTGCCGCCCTGAGGTTAGTTCTGGTCCTGATTTTGGTTTCCGTTGCCTGGAGTGCGACCTGAGCTACCGTCGTTGTTTCCACCGATTCCCTTGCCAATACTTTTGCCCTGGTTGTTACTCTGATTTTGGTTCTGGTTCTGGTTCTGGTTCTGGTTTCCGTTTTTTGAAGTCTGAACCTGGCCATTGGAGTTGTTTCCACCAATTCCCTTGGCAATGTTTCCGCCGCCGCCTTGAACCCCTGAGCATCCCGTAGGACGAAATGCATGTAAGTCAGGCGAACCAGCAGCCGCGAAATACTTGTCGATGTTGGGAAGAACATTGACACAACGGTTTTTGTTGATGGTGTCGACGTCTTTTCGGGCGTTGGCAGGACCATTTGCGACCATGGATCTTAAAACATCAACGACCTGTTGAAAGGTACCCTGAGTATCAAGCACAGCATTGGCTTGCGATACCGTCTGCATTCCTTTGAGAGCGGTGTCAAGAACCTTCTTGTGATTCAGCTCGTCAAGTTCGGCGTTGAGAGCGATCGTAGCTTGTTTGGTGTATTCTGAGCCGGTGTACGTTGTCGCAGTGTTAAGGAAATTGGTGACTTTCCCCGTATCTTGCCTCCAGGACGTGACAGCATTTGAGATCTGGGACGCACTGACGCCATTGCGTCCTGCGGCTGTGCTGCTTTGGCCTTGACTTGCGCCAGCCTGGCCTGGGGTCAGGATAGCAGCTGGTAAGGCCAGACCGAAGGAAGGCAGGTAGGCGAAAAGGAAGACAAGAATCAATAGAGACTGCATTATGGTTATGTTGTCAATGAGTTTGATAACGAGACTTGCTTGAGTGAATTTTGAAACATAACAATCCTATAGGATAGTAAAATAAAAGCACAAGAAAATGATCTTGTAAGGAGGCAATATTTCCTAAAGGAAAGTGGTGAAATAGAGGGCCTTGCAAAGGCGTTCGACCGTCTGTTCAGATAGAGTAGGATGGAAGAAAAAGAAAGCACAAGTAATATCGGAAGGAGTTCATCAGTTTGCAAACATTGGACTGATGGAAAGGGACGATGAATGAGTTATATCAATTATCTGGAGAAGGTGGAAGGTGACTGAAGGCGGGGAAGTTTGACACATCTTGGACGAAAAACAGACATTAGCCTGAAGGGTCTCCCAGGATAAGGGCCATTAGGAGATCAGGTGCAGCACGAATGGAGGGGCCACAATGGATACGTTTGACGCACTTTAGACGTCACGGTTAAGAAAATGCTGTGTATGTTGCAAAACCAAGTCGTGAGTTGTAGGCAAAGCCTAGGACAACAACATATTGACTGCAGTAAGGATAGTTCCAAGAAAAGATGGATATGGGTGATTAAGATTGTGAAGAGACGAAACAAGCGGATGAAAGGGGTCAAAGTGTTCGTCACGCAAGGATCAGCTGGTGTGACTTGAATGTTATGTGTAGAGGTAAAACTACTGAAGCAAAGCAGAACGTGGGGAGTATGGTCAAGTAAGTTCAGGGCTCAATTGAAGCATCAGGGAACTTCGCGGTTATACCAGATACAGACTTCAAACGGCACGAATCGCTTTCATCAGGGCAAGAAGCCTATCAACCATCGACACATTGAGCAATGTATCCCAGATCAGAATGACTGAGTCAGAACTACTGAAAACACAGGCTTGTTTTCAAAACGAAAGGAAGGACTTGGTGGCTGTCGTCTGTATCATGCGGGATGGTGTGATGCAAACTATTAGTGGCATCCAAACTTGAATTATTGGCACGCTCTCGAAGTTTGGGTCACTGGGATGCCGTCAGTTCAATTAGAAGTGCCTAGGAACCGGATATTGATGGCTATATGAAGACTAACAGAAGCAAGGAAACATCCATTCTTCAAACTGGAATAGATTGCATCAACCGTATAATCGTATCGGTTGCATAGCTAGAAACTGTTCAGAGGTGACTACGAATGTCTGGAGAATGTGGAGAGGACAAAGACAATCAAGCTGCTATGTTAAGGCTATTTTGATAACTGTATTAAAGTTCCGAGAGGGGGGGAGAGGGGGAAAAGAGGAGGCACAAGGCAACATGTGAACTTGTTGTTTGCTGTGCGAGACCAGACTGGATAGGCGTAGAAGAGGTTGTCCAATAGGCCGCTGGGATAACCATAACAAAGAGGCTCAAGGTTGGGATGCAAAAACAGCAACCACGAGGTCAACGCCCCATCATCCGTCAAGCGGCAACGCAAGTTCGTGTAAGCTGTGATGAAAAATAAACGCTTCCCGCTGGAAATGGAGGAAACATCAAAATAGAAAGACGGGGTCCCCACGATCTACGGCTCTTATGAATCCTGCCATCCCTCTGTGATTCTCCGACGTGTTCTCAGGGCCTAGGAGAAGAGGGGACAGTCTTGGACTCTTGGATAAGACATGGTCACTCCCCCCCTCTCGGCCCGGCCTCGTCTGATTAAACTTTATACGCCCAAGCTCGAAACATCGAAACTTGTCTCGTATCAGCCGAGGAGCCCTACCTTGCCCTAATTCTTGCCCCCCTCCCCATCCAAGATAGGACGATGACAACTCTTTGTGGCAATGCTTGCTCTTTGCATCTGTATTCAGGCGTCCGAAGGCCTTTAGCGAGCGGAAGTTCCAAGGCCCGATGGTTAAGCCCGATGCCACCTCAGACCTACTTTCAGCCAAGATGCATGGGTATCAACATATTGGGATTCTGCGGCCGGAATATAATGGGAGCGGCATCTTGCAGAAGTTCTCCTACGACAGGCAATTCCAAACACCGCATCCGATTCGAGGGTCGAGCTCTTTTCGGCTGAGCTCTGTCTTTCCGTGTCCGACCACCACATCAAAGTATCATGTCCATCAACCGCCATGTGGCGTGATTGCCGTCATCTCCTGAGTTTCCCCCCTGCCATATATCCAAGGCGTAGCCGCGTCCTCTCCATTCCTGTGGCATTAACTTTCCATGACCCCTTGATAGACTGTTGACATCCCTCGATTTGGTTGTTCACTTCTACACAAAACTCTTTCCCCTAGGACCCGTGGGTTTAGTAACGGTGTCTCTCTTTCCCTTACTATTTTCTTCCTTTCCTTTTTTGCTTCTTTCTCTGTCATAGTTTGTGTCAGCAACCCTGGCGGTTGACCCTTTGTAATGGCTCTCACGAAGCTTTCTCAGTTTGCTTTGGTGCTCTCTGGCTTTGTCACTGTAAGAGCGCAGCAGAATGTGCAATTTAACCAGGTTATCAACCTCAATGGCGATGTAAGTTATTGACCCCTTAGCATATTGCCTGTTCACCATCGCATTTGAAATTGGAAAGGGTGTGGTAGACGTAGTTCGTTCAGGGCATACTAACAAGTCTGCCAGATGCAACTCAACAGTCTTGTCTTCCCCGATGGCACAAAGATCGAAACGTTCTCTCAGTCACAGCGCCAGGTCATCGTCAACCAAAACCCTAACCCATTGTCGGCAAGCCACGTCGTCGGCTCGACGGGTCAGCCCTTCGTTCCACTCTCGCGCAACTCTGTATCCATCCAGACTAATGGAGCCGTCGACCTAGTAGGCGCTCAAATCGAGCTGCCCATTGACCAGACTATGCTCACGCAGGCTGGAGTAACCGCTGATAACACTTACGTCGCAAAGTTGTCGAAAGACCGCCAGGCGTGGATCGTAATGGAGGGGCTCAAAAGCGTCAATATCACGGATGCGAATGTCCGCATGGTCAAGCTGAATCAAATTGACGGAGAGTTTGTGGCCGTGGGCCGACAAACTAGCGAGCTTGGCGCTTCTCTGACTCCCTTCGGTCAGCCCGTGAACATCGCTGGATCTGGCATCCAAGAGGCGGAGTTCCAGGACGGATTCCGGGTTTCCATCAAAGCTAGCCAGCCGATGAGCATTCGCACGGATGTGGTCAACGGTATCAGCCCGGAAATGGTCACCAACGGCATCGTGTCTCTTAGTGAGTGCTCAGACGATCTCGCGCTTGTCGACGGAATGCCACACTAACAATATGGTAGACAACTACCGGTACCTCGTCACCAGCAATCTTGCTGGTGTTGTGCCCAGCCTCAACAGCATGACCGCCGTGGTCCAGATACCGCGTGAGTTTTCACTTTCCACAGGATGAAATGAAGTTTGTCCGTATTTGAGGATAGCACTGACCGTGTTTTGAAACATCAGTCAATGTCGAGCGACTCATGGCCATGGCTATGCGCGCAGGTGCCCAGCCGCAGTCGTCTATCACACTGGGCATCGCTCAACGCCCGGTTCTCCAGAACCCTGGCGGTGCGACTGGTGGATTGCAGGCTCCTCGCTCCAAGCGTCAAGCAGGTAACACCACAGCTGGCCCGCAACCTCCAGCAAACGGCTCTGGTAATACTGCTGGCAACGGCGCAGGAACCGCTGTTGGTAATGTTCCCGCCGTTGCACCGCCTCCCGCTGGAGGAAACACCCCGCCTCCTCCTACCCCTCCTCAAACCGGCCAGAACCCCCCCTCAAACGCCGGCCCAGCAATACCTGCTGCGTCACAGCTTCTCCTGGCTCAAACCTTCAGCCCTGTCAATGCTCAGATTCTCCTGGACAGAGAGAATGCTCGGATAGCCGTTCCAATTAGTCAGATTGATGGCGAGTTCATCCTCACCATGACGGTTGCCGGAACTCCCGTTGGTGCTCAGCCTCAACCCGTTCCCCAGCAAGGACAACCTCAACAAGGCCAGCCTCAGCCTGCTCCCCAACCTGCTCCCCAACCTGCTCCTCAGCCTGCTCCCCAACAGGGCCAGCCTCAGCAAGGTGGTGGTCTCGTACAGCCTGCCCCGCCTCAACCAGGTGGCATCATCGCTACACAGCCTGGCCCCGCTCCCGTTAAGACTGCTAATAATCAACCGCGTCAAGAGGCAGCGGCCCCGGTTTCTCCAGGAGCCTTTGAGATGAAGATGGCCGACCTGATGACCATGGCTGAGACAAGACGCAACGGAGGCATGATGCCTACATGGGAACTAATGACCAAGCTTGCTGCTTCGCAGAAAAAGGCCGTGCAGAAAGGGTCCGAGACCCCGAGACGGAATTCGTTGCTGATGCGTCGACGTCTAGGCGCACATTTCTAGGGTGAATTTTTTTGGTCAGCATGGCGGATAATGTAAATATGTGTTTGTTTCATTATTGTACCCTCATCCGGGTGCCTACACAGCAAGTTATGATGGACTGCCATGAGAATCCAATTCACGTAATAGAAAAAGTTCATCAGTAAACATGTTTCATTTCATCCAGACCCGAGGGCCTCGTCTAATCATCACCGGCGACGGTAAAGCGGTTGCCAAGATGCATAAAGGTTCTACTCAAGTTAGAGAGCAAAGCTTGTACGGATATAAAGAGGTGACTATAAACGAAAGTGGGGGAAATGTTTACGAAATGTTTCGACTCCGCAGCTAAACAACGATGCAAATCACTCTCCGCCATGGCAAGGTCCCCCGCAAGAAACGAACAATGGTTCTCCATTCCGATGGGGAATCCGCAGATCGCTCCATATCTCTTACTCCAGCGGATAGGTTCGGCGACTTTGAAACAAAAATCAACATGTGGAATTTTGGTAATTTGACATGCGTCTCCAACCTCGGCACGTCTGCCAAGGCAATAGGGTGTTTTCTTCATCTTTCTTTATATACTAGCTTTTTGATCCCGACAATCGTCCTTTTGTCTAGTCGTTGATTTCTTTCTCCTTGTATCCCGAAGATCAGTTGAAAATGGAACCAAGCCTTGCATCAGCGCATGTTGACGGCTGCGATCGCTCAAGCCATTCCAGGTATTTTGGCACCGAGAATCAACACCGACTTGAGTGCTAAGTCTTGCTATGAGAAAGATGATTATTGTAAGTTATTATGATACCCCGCTTTGTCCGCATTTACCTCTGTACTTGCAGTATAAGCACATGCGGCTTTGCTGCGATTACCACGTGTTGCTCCGCGAAATCAGTGTATGGACCTTCTGTCTCTTCCGGGATTCTAGTATAGTGCCAACCAACCGTTTGCTCACGAAACCTTGTCACTGGACAATATCCGTACTTTGAAATGGTAGAGGGGGGCAAAAGAACCGATTGCAACGAGACAAGCAGATGATAGAACAGAATAGCCGATTTCGGCATGATTAAATAGATCTGTCGGAGAAGTGCCTATCACTAAGCATTAGAACCTGGACCACCCCTGTCTCAATGACGTCCGGGGAAGCGGTGCTATCTTTAAGATTCTACCCTCTTATCAGCGGTGCCCCTCACTATCAACCAGCCCCCCCCCCCCCCCCCGATATTGATGGTAGCATGAATAGTGGGCATCGGGTCTGAATGTTACCGTCCCATTTGGATTCGATAGTAGCGACATCTTAGGCGAACTGAGGAGATAGTTCATGGAAAGATTGGATCGTCCATGTCCCCGCCGCTTCGTCGCGGTTAGTAGTTAAGGACTGCGGGCTCCTCTTCCCTTTAAAGCGCAGAGGGCAAGTGTGTCGGGCCTCGGAAAACCGCAACATTCAGGATGAAGGGTTTCAGTAACTTCAGCTCTCTCTCGGTGGTGTGTTTGGCCGGGATTGCGCTCGGGGCAGTGACCAACTCATCTTCCCATGGAGTGAGCATCCCAGCGATTAGAAGCTTCATCGAACTCTATTGACATCAATGCAACAGGTTTCCGTTCCGCTTGATCTGATCCCTCTCTTCAACAACAAAGGGTTCGGAACTCGACCCGGAGAGGCATCATTCGACGCACTGAACCAGTCGTTCCCTGAGCCCACGGTCGGCCCAGAGTTCGTCTCTCCTGACACCGGAATACATTATAGTTTCCCTGGGTACACCGGTCCCGCGGAACCCGATAATCTGATCTGTAATGGTCAAAAGGTCACCGTCCCCCCGGCCACCTACTTTTCGGCCTCCTTCCTCGTCGCTGGAGACGTGGAGGGTGCGACAGTCAGCGGCAATGTCTCCTTTGTCTACTCCGACAACACAACGTCGGGATTTGAGCTCCGCACACTCAATTGGTTCAGTTTCTTGACCATCAATCGCGGCGAGATCATTTTTCCGAGCAGATATACGGCCAATGGCTCTGACTTTAACAGCTCACACATTTTCGAGCGTACCACGGCTCTGCCGCCGGGGAAGAAGCTGAGCTCTATTATCCTGCCAGTGAAGAATAATGCCACCGAGGGCCGGCTTCACGTCTTTGCTGTTTCCTTGTGGCAGCAATCACCGGATGTTGGTGTGCAGTCAGTCCGGCCAACGCAGAAGTGGATGGGCAATGATACACAAATAGTGGAGGTCACTATCAACAATGCCGGGTCTTCGTGCGTGTCCGGCAATGGTCTCAACTTGACTATCCATGGAGACGGTTTCCACACCGTTAGTCCTGGGCATCTGAAGCGGCTCTGCCCCGGCGACCAAAAGCTTGTAGCTGTCGGTGTCAATGGAGCTTCCGACGGTCTCGTTAGTGTCTCTGTAGAGATTAGTAGCGGGGACACCAAAAGGACGACATCGGTTGATAATGTTGAAATTGGCTTGGCTGAGTGGACAGCAGATTCCGACAGTCTTTCGAAGCATGAAAGTCCGGAATGGTTTGACGACGCCAAGTACGGTATCTTTATCCACTGGGGTCCGTATGCTGTTACCGGCTGGGGAAATTCGACGCCGTACGAAAGCTACTCAGAGTGGTTCTGGTGGTACTCTACACACCATCCCGAGGGCGATCGCTCCAACTTCTACGGATACCGACTCGATACCTACGGCCCCGACTGGGCTTATGATGATACCTTTCCGGAGTTCAACGCCTCCAAATTCGATGCCAAAGAGTGGGTTGACCTGTTTGCCGATGCCGGCGCCAAGTACTTTATTATCACGACGAAGCATCACGATGGTTTTGCTCTCTTTGACGCAGGCGAGACTTCGAACCGTTCCGCAATTCACTTTGGTCCCAAGCGCGACCTTCTCAAGGAATTATTCGATGCTGCCGAGACATATCAGCCTTCTTTGAAGCGGGGAACATACTTCTCGCTACCTGAGTGGTTCAACCCAGACTTTGGCCCATACGGTTTCGTCCAGTCCCCAACTCCATCATCTGTCTCGTGGCCGGGCACATTGGCCCCAAACCCCTACACAGGCGAATCCGAGCCATACACCGGACACGTGCCCGTCAATGACTTTATTGTCGATCTCCTGGTTCCTCAGATGGAGACCCTGGCATATGACTATGGTACCGATATCATGTGGTGCGACTGCGGCGCCGCCAACGGCACGGCAGGATTCGCGGCAGAGTGGTGGAACAAGGCCCGTACTGAGGGCCGACAGGTCGCCATTAATTCACGCTGCGGCATTCCAGAGGCGGCGGACTTCGACACTCCCGAGTACCAGACCTTTGCGTCTGCCCAGAGCCGCAAGTGGGAGAGCAATCGTGGTATGGACCCATACAGCTACGGATACAACCGGGCAACGAAGCCTGAGGAGTACATGAACGCTACCACGATTGTATACTCCCTCGTCGACATGGTGTCAAAGAATGGCAACTTCCTTCTGGACATCGGACCGAGGGCAGATGGGACCATCGTGGAGGCAGAAATGAACAATCTGCGTGAGGCTGGCAAGTGGATCAAGATCCATGAGGAAGCGATCTTTAATACGACATATTGGTTCGTGCAAAGTGAGATCGTTGGAGGACCTGATGTGAGATTCACTCAGACTGATGATGCATTTTATACCGTGTTCTTAGAGAAGCCACTCTCCATTGACGGCTGGGTGACTATCCAGGCCCCGATTCCCATTCTTCGGGGTGATTCTGTCAGTCTTCTGGGAGTGAACGGTGGCGAGGAGCTCGAATGGGACTTAGTTAACTCAGGACCTGAGCGTGAGCTGAAGATCAAGGTTGACGAAGCTTTGATCGAGGAGGACGAGTTCGGTTGGGTCTTCAAAGTCCTCTACAGGGCTTGATTGAGCTCAAGGATATAGTACCCATGTGTTTTATGTCTAGTCGATTAAACCGATGTAGTAATATCCGCAAATGTCTCAAAGCTTTCTCGAGGCCAGTCCAAACTACCTTCACTGACTACTCTAAAAAGAAATTGTGCATGCCATGACGTAGGAAATGAATTAAAAAGAAACTCTCAACTGAGAAACTCTCAAGCACAAAAGTTCGACTTGCCCATCGTTGAAGCAACTGGTTTGCTCCTGGCAGCGACTAGCTCTAAGTAATTGTAAGATATTTATCTTGCTCAAATCAACCTACTCTTCAAATTACTCATGACTGTCTTGACCTTATAGCTGGCGATTTAACTCCTCATCCTGATACTTGACTAGTATCTCATGCATAGGCTGACGTTCTTTGCCTTGAAGCACACTCAGAGGCGTAGACTCTACGAGTACTGTGTAATCCACTACAGTTTCTTCAGAAGTAGCACTCTATCAGGATCGGGGTTAACCTGTAGGGTAGGGTTAGGGGCCCAAGTTGTTTTCTGTGGTACAGGATATAGCTTACCATTGATCCAGAAACCAAATCGGGATATCTGTCCTTGACTCCTGCTACGTTCCTCAGATCGTAGTTCAACAGCAGTGTCGCCAGGATCATCTTGATCTCGTTGACGGCAAAGAAGCGACCTGGGCAAGCATGGCGTCCGTACCCAAACGTCAAACTAGTCTGACTCACGCTGACGAACTGGGCATTGGCGACCATCTCAACCTGCTTGGATACTGTCTTCTGTTCCGTCTTCGACTGTCGCATCTTATAGAAGCGCAAGGGGTCGAATTTGTCTGCATCTGGGAAGAATTCATTGTCGTTGTAGATACCGATAGCAGGTACCTCGATTATGCAACCCGCAGGGATAACCTGGCCGTTGGAAAGAGTAAAAGTCTTGAGGACTTTTCGCTGGAAGGACGCTATCGACAACGTCAGATAGGAGTTATAGAGGGACTTCAGGAAACTCACAAAATCCCATGGCGTGGTATCTCACGCATTCCTTGATGAAGCTATCTAGCTTTTTCATATTCTGCATCGCAATGTTGGTGAAAACTCCGTTGGCTTCAGCCAGAGCTTGTTGCACATCGTCGCGAAGAACGGAAACGAACTCGGGCATCGATGCTAGCGTGTATAGCCTTGAGGAGTTGAGTTAGCAGGTCGAACAACATAGAGAATCTAGACTTACGTGTTGGTAGCCGTCATTGACGTAGTGTGAATAGCGGCGAAGCTAATAGCCAACTGATAACGGGCAAGGTTATTGTTATCCTTGTCGCCAGACTTCTCTTGCTCGTCTATCATCCATTGCAGCATGTCATCAGGCTTCTGATATTCCGGATCTTTAGAAGCCTCTCTCCTGACTTGAACAATCGGCTTCAGAAAATCAACTGCCTCGGTAATGCGCCTTTGTACCTTCCTAACCTCAGGCCGCCTTGGCGCTAAAAAGGGGCGTATCCATGGCGGTATAGTAGAGACCTTCTGGATTGCCTTCAATAGGTCTACAGTGTAGTTGATAGCTGAATCGATGTAGTCTTCGTTCCGACACAGCTCAGGCCCAACAAAAACGCGGCCAGACGCCATAGCAATAATGCGCATCAATTTGTCCATAATTTTGACCTCGGTCCATTCACTCGATCGCGGTAGCTCGTTTCGCATCGCCTCAACAACCTCGTCAGATATGATGGGGTTGAGTCGAACTAAACAGTCGTAAGCAGCAACTTCGTAAACGTAACAGCCGAGAAGGAAAACACACCAAGAGCCGGCGTTAGCGATGTCTTGACTAAACGAGGAAGCATTTCGATATTTGTCTCGACGCCAGTGTATTTTGCTTGTAAGCTCTGTTCATAAGTCAGTCTTGGCATTCTTTTGAATTTCTTTCCTTGTACTTGAGGACCAACCTCCTCTATGGCTTCATTAAAGCTCAACACGTCATCAGGAAGCCTTTTGAGCTCGTCCATGAACTTCGGAGCCACAACGATATTGGTTGCTTCTATCGAGAAAAGTCAGCAATAGGCCTCGACATCCTATCTGGTGGATCAGATACTGACTCTTTGTTGTAGTAAGCTGGAAAGCTTGCTCCTTGAACTACAGAAGTTGAATTATCAATTAATGGTCTCTCCGAGTTCATATTCATGTCAACACACCTTCTTATATCCTTCCAAATAGAGGTTCTTGGCACCCCCATCCACAAATTTCTTTCTCCTGCTCTCCTGTCCGCCATATTCTGTTCCAACTACGGGAATTCCTGACAATATATCGTGCTTAAAGACCGACTGCACGACGAAAGCAAAGGCAAAGGCCAGTAGCACCGTCGCAGCAATAGGCCATCTGTTTGTTGCCTCGATGAGAAGTGTGCTCTCCAGCGGCGTGTCTGCCGTGGCGTTCATGTTTGCATCGATAACTTTTGGCACTGGTGATCGAATGTTTGAATCGTGAAGGGAAAGGTGTGCTTGAGTTGGAGATTATGTTTTTAAGAAGATGGGAGGGGTCTCAGGCTGTAATATACGCTGTTCGTCCGTCCCCCCCTCCACTATTTGTTTTGTTACCGCAGCATGAGGGTATGAATACCCGAGCCGAAAACCTCGCTAGGTCATCCTGTTTGCAGGAAGTTCCTCTATACGAAGGAAGTTCCTCTATACGAGTGCGAAGCGCTGCCGACGTAACACGAACAGTTGGCAGTGCAGCAAGAAGCCGGAGTGTCTCAAACTAAGGTAGGATCCACCCTACCAGTTCGACGAGGGGTTGGAAGCGGTGGGCCGTCGTTTGCCTATCGCCCATACGGCTACCAGCAGATCATATTAGAAGTGGTTTGAGCTTTGCAGCGGGATCGACCAACATGCAACCAAACCTCGGGTGTGGGGGCCCCGAAGCGGGAAGAATGGGACAGACGGGCTAAACGAAGACTCCGCTTCAAGGTTCATCGAGTGAGCTTCGCGTATATCTAACGCAGCACACCGAGCAATCTGTGCGGGGTAGGTTTCGTACTCGTAAGTCTGATCGTCATAACTTGAGCTGTATGACCAGGTGGCGTACTAATACGACGTCGGCTATTTTCTTTTTCATGTAGCATTGACGCACCCCTAACATTTTATGGAATGAAAGACGGAGCAGTCAATCAAGTTGTTCACCAAATGATAGTCCCTACACCTATCCTTAGCCCCGGAGGCCCCTCAGCTACTGCTGCTCACGAGAAACCAGAATATCATTCATTCTTCTGTGTGCTGATATCTGGGTCAGTCTCTTGTACTTGACTTCACAAGCACGAGAAAACTTCCAGACACGTCATGCGACGGGCGTACAGGTATTGGAAGGTGTTTCACAACTCTCTCTTCCCGACTTCCCGATACTCATCAGTGGTCAAAGCACCACGCCATGCGGGACACAAGAGTGACACGGCATTCTAAGGACCAGAAGCATTCTTGATCTCCTTAGGCCCTAAAACCTGGATAAATAGCCAGGCCGGGGTATGGACCACTCACAGCGTCCCCTCAGTTCGGCAGCACATCGAATTTGCCATGTATTTGTGGGCCAGGATAATTATCCAGGTTTTAGGGCCTGAGGAGATGGCTTTTTCTCGAATTAGGAATAAGGCAAAGCAAGCAGTTGCTCTACGTCGATATGGCTACGTTTCGGTTTATACAGATTGTAACATTCTAGTACCGGGTAAGCTGCAATCGACCAATTGTGAAGTCTAGAACAAACAGGGTAGGGCGTGCCATCAATTAGCAAAATGCCAAGTGCACTTAGTTCATGCGAGGAAGGAACTTTTGGCGATTCCACTAATCAATTCCTACAGTTCGATACAAAACCTAACGTTTAGAGTCGTCTTTGGGGATTGACAGACTTATGCGGAACACCATATACTGATTTTGCTAGACGTTTTGCACCTTTCCGTCACCAGTGTGCTTCGTATTACTAATGGGAACACAGGCCGCTGTTCAATAGTCCCGCAATGGTCCGTAATCTCTCGATTCCCGGAGAATGTGGTCAACGATCCGAATGGTTTTCATGATTTGCAACTTCTTGAGATGTTGCACGGTGACTCACTTGTTAGTTGGCAGGTGTGGTCGTTCTGCGGAAACCATCTCATCTTGTCCCAGCGGGCTCGCGAGCGGTATATTTATTACCTGATATGATATGCATGACCCACAGGGTCTTTCAAGAAAGAAAACGTCTTTTCGAGACGCTCAACTCTTGTGATTGGTTTGGTTTCGTCTTATCAGAATATTAGTAGTGAAATTTACCTAAATAAGCAATTAAAGTACCTCGGTGCCGCATGCACCCCGCTTATTACCGGACGCAACCCGACCCCACACTCTACAATTTCTCGTCATCCAGTACCCAATAAGGAGATAAAATAAATAACATGCACCAATTAGCCGATCCTCCGCTTCAGTAGATGCGTTCTTGAAATTACCAACAGTCTTCCGAAATACCATCCCAGTGAACCCTGTAACCGCAAACTCAACCTTGGCCAAATGGCTTTTACGTCAGAGGCCATCGTCGCCAGAGGCCCTTTCCGCGAAGGGAAATGGGCTATCGAACCCGTAACTCTTCGAGAGCTTCGTGCAGATGAGGTTCTTGTTGAGATTGTTGCCTCTGGCATCTGCCATACAGACTTGCACTGCGGCGACACGGCGGAGGACAAAGGAGTTCCTGGCGTGTATTATCCTAGGGTTCTTGGACATGAAGGTATAGTGGCAAGCATTGAAAAAGCTCGTAGCTCTGATAAAGATTGAATGCTGACTTCTCTTGCTAGGCTCCGGCTACGTAGTTCGTGTTGGAAGCAGCGTGACGAAGGTCAAGGCCGGCGATGCGGTCTTCCTCTCCTTCTCATACTGTGGATCGTGCCACGTTTGCAAGACTGGACCGCCATCTCACTGCACCAACTTTTTCGAAATCAACTTCATGGGAGAACCTGTCTTTTCTGACGGAATTGGCGGTCGCTTTTTTGGCCAGTCTAGTCTGGCGCACCACACTGTTGTGAGCGATAAGTCCGTTGTCAACGCCGACGGCCTCGGTCTTACTCGTGATGATCTGAGGATACTGGCACCGCTCGGATGTGGTCTCCAAACCGGCAGTGGAACCGTCGTCAACGTTGCGAAAGCTGGGGCTGAGGACTGCATCGCTATCGCGGGCATGGGAGGTGTTGGCTTGGCAGCCGTCGTCGCCGCGAAGAACCAGGGGTGCAAGACCATTATTGGAATAGACCGATTGGATTCCCGCCTCGAGCTGGCGAAGTCACTTGGCGCAACGCACATTATCAACACAACCGGCCTAGAGATGGCACAAGTCACGGAGAGAATCAGGGAGGCAGCAGATGGACTAGGAGCAACCATCTGTATCGACACAAGCGCCTACCCGCCACTTCTCAATGCCCAGATCCAAGGAACACGTTACATGGGCAAGATCATTCAGGTTGGAACGGGTATGCCGGAGACTCATCTAGAGCTTCATATGCAGAGTTTCATGGTCAGCGGGAGGCAGTATTTTGGGGCTATCCAGGGTCACGTCAACACAACGGAATACATTCCTCAGATGGTTCGGTGGTGGAGAGACGGAAAGTTTCCTGTTGAGAAGCTTATAAAGGTTTTTCAGTCTGCCGATTTTGGATCGGCTGTAGAAGCTATGAAACGCGGCGATGTGGTTAAGCCAATAATTGCATGGTCATGAGCGGATAGATGGGCAAACTGATAGACTTAGCACCATTGAATAAGAGGATAAAATGCCGATACATATCACCCACTGCACTCAAGTTCTTATTGCTTGTCCAGCCACCGTCACAGACTGGGATCTTTTGCGCAGACCCTTTCCCTTAACGCGCTTGACACTATTCCAATGTTGACCTTCGACAACAAATACATCCAAATCTTCAGGTGATTTTCCAAATCAGACCGCACCTTTATCTAGAAGCCCCCCAAGTAGACCACAACGTTCCGATTGGTCTAATAATTACGAGCGACCAGCTGACCAGTCACACGAGGTTATGATAAGAGAACGCGCGAATAATGTTGCATCCATTGTCGTGCATGAGCCCCGCAGTCCGGGGGCGATGGTGGATACGACGTTTGTTCCCAACTGACGCGTTGCATTTATCCCCAGACAAATCTTCGCTGAGCGGCTGAGGTGAGCCCTCTCTTCTGCTCTGCGAGATTTCTCACTCTTGAGACTAGGAATCGTACCACTTCTCTCGCATAGCCAGCCAATCCGACCCGGGTCGCGCACAAGGCCTGGAAACAAATGGAGCAACACGGCCCAGACCTGGCCTCCAGGATCGGGCCCTGGATATTGCCTAAGCCGCTCCAGGAGGCGTCTCCGGAAGCCACCCCTAGCGAACGGGCCTCGCCGCCGGAGGAGACCAAGCGGCGGAGGGCGGGTGGACCAAAGGCCCGTACCGGCTGTGCCACCTGCAAGACGCGCCATGTCAAGTGCGACGAGCGCAAGCCCACGTGCTTCCGATGCGAAAAGGTCGGCGTGGCGTGCGAAGGATACGTGGATCGCATCGACAGGAGGAGAAGAAGACAAACGCAGAGCGTTGTCCGCCGAACGGTCCCGCTACTCATCGCTCCTCGCTCCACACCATCCCAGACCGAGTCTTGCAGTTCCGCACTCGTCGTAGCCACAACGCCGCAAATCCCTCGGTCTCTGTCGAATTTGCCAGAGGTTTACCGCAAAGATGGGATCTACTTCGATTACTTCCGCCATCAGGTCTCCACCAACCTGGCAGGTTACTATACCAGCCCAAACTGGTCTCACCTGGTCGTTGGTGAAGGCCTGCAGGATGACTGTATTCATCATTCAATACTTGCTGTCGGCGCCCTCATCCGTTCTTCGCCGCAAGACACGAAACCAAGTATACATCGGGGAAAGGGCTTGCCACCCTCATCGGATGGCCAAGGTGCAACAGAACATCGCGAGGTTGCTCTGCGACATCATTTACAAGCAGTGAAGTCTTTAAGAGAACGGATGGAGTTGATCACGGCATCGTCACCAACGACCATTGTCATCACTACTCTACTACTTGTCATTTACGAGCTGCTCCAGGGAGAGCCCAAGACAGCCCAGCTTCTCCTCAACTCATGCCTAGGCGTACTGAAGGACTGCATTACCATGTTTCAGAGCGGTTCCGGCAACAGTGAATCACAGCCCCGAGACTCTGAGTTTGACGATATGGAGCATGTGCTGCCCTGCATAGCAGCAATGAGCCATGTCTCTCAATCACTCCAACCGCTGCGGCGGCATACTCGCCCATTCAAGATTGATCCCGGCTCGAACTTCCACGACCCCGAACACGAGTCTCTATCAAAGTTCTTCATCTCGTGGGGTAGGTTTTTTACCTTTGGCGTTGGCTTTGTCGGCAACTCTGCAGATGCGACAGCAGGAGGTGTCACACTGGAGTCCTGTGGCCATCTTACCGCCCACCAGCAAAAGTTTCTGTCGCAGTTGCAGAGGTGGAAAACCATCATTCAGTACTATATTCAGAGTCCGAAAATCGACACTGGAACGAAGAAGGGCCTGAGAATCGTGCAGATACACTGGCTTCTTCTCTACATAACTCTGACATGCTGTCTCGACCCAACCGAGATGGCCTATGACGCTTTCGAACAAGAATTTCGGGATCTCACGATCCAGTGCGTCGATCTCTATCGCGACTGTGTATCACAGCCACCTCCGACATCCGTCCTGCTTGGGCAAGGCCTCATTTTACCCCTCTGCACAGTTGTGCGCGCCTGCAGGAATCACGATATTCGCATGACGGCGCTCCAGGCCCTTGGCGAAGTTCCGTCATCTATGGTCTCCTGGGATGTAGTATCAAATATGGACGGGATTCTGGGGGCCTTGTTACTTGAGGAAACCGGCCGGGACGAGAACGGATTAGTACCGCCAGACTCAAGGTGGTTCTGGCTGAAAGATGTTCCTGTACAAGAGACGGGTCAGGTGCATAAGATTTACCAGAGGCTCTCGCCAGGGCATGATGGCAAACCTGTCTTAACAAAACTTCCTCCTACCTCCAATATGCGGTCAAAGATTTGTAAGGTTGGCGGATGCGACACGGCACATATTCTGGGCCCGATTGTCGTAGAAGACTTAAGACACAATGGGATGCATTATGCTGCAATGGGGTAAAATAACTCCTTCTGGTAAGAAACATATAAACATTTCGAAAGTCAACGATCACAAATTCGTCTTCGCAAGAGGAATTCAAACATGTCGTAATTAGCGGCCAATCAGGGTTTCCAGCCGCAGTGTTGCCGTGAAACAGTTGGACTCTACTCTGTTGCTCATCAGCGTGGGATCGTAATTATCAGCCAATCGGGATTAACCGATCGGATCTTGTAAGTGGCCCTTTGGATTGCGCGTTTGTTACGCGCTCCACATGCCCAACTAACTCCTGGCCCTCGTAAGAATTACCCAATAGCAAACCCGTTCCAGGACGACACTGTGTAGGCGGGACATCGTGTCTCCAACCCTGCCGTGGAGAATTGATATATAAGGCTGGGTCGACTCAGGATTTCTGTTGTGCAGACTTGTCACACATGATACCCCTAGTTCTTGAAATCTAAGAATTATTCGCGGTACCCCATATCGCCAGGTTACGAAACTCATTCACAAATTACAATGAGCGGGCCAGCCGTCAACATCGCCCAACCAGTTGTAGCGTCGCTCGCTGATTTAAAAGCGGGTATGTTCACGACATGCGTCTATCCTAACTCATTCTAACAACGAACCACGACATTAGGAAATGTTCCATTTGAAACGCTCGTGGAAGCTTTTGGGCCAGACTCTCTTGGAATCTTGGTAGTAAAAGATGTCCCCCCCGAGTTCCCTCTACTTCGGCGTCAGACACTGTCTTATGCGTCATACCTTGGAAACCTCTCTGAATTGCAACTTGGTACGTTGCTGCGATTCCGGATTCAGTGGTGGAAACTGACGCATTGCCGTAGCCAAGATTGAAAATCCAGCTGCAAGGTACCTCACCGGCTGGTCTTTAGGAAAAGAGCAACTAAAGGACGGACAAGTGGACACCTTCAAAGGATCATTCTACGCCAACTGCGCCTTTTATACAGACCCCAAACTGGATTGCGCGAAACCAACTGCCGAGTTTTCTCCAGACAACTTCCCGGAATATCTCTCACCAAACATCTGGCCCGAAGAGGATGTTTTACCTGGTTTTAAGAACAGCCTCGAGGACCTTTGCCGCCTTCTGATCGATACTGCTGTTCTAGTAGCGCGAGCCTGTGACCAATACGCAGAGCGTGAAATTGACGGCTACACAAAAGGGTACGTCGAGCACGTCGTCAGCACAAGCAATACCACCAAGGCTAGACTACTTCACTACTATCCTCAATCTCAGGACAATTCAAACGTGAACGAGGATGATTGGTGCGGTGTACATCTGGACCACTCCGTGTTGACGGCCTTGACATCTGCCATGTTTGTTGACGAACAAACGACATCGACCGTAGTCTCTGTCCCCGAGACTGGCTCGACGCTTCCACCGCTGGATGAAATGTCGGGAAGCCCGGATCCTTTGGCTGGCCTCTATATCAAATCTCGGGCTGGAGAGACGGTTCAAGTCAAGATCCCGAGAGACTGCATTGCTTTCCAGACAGGCGAGGCATTGGAGAAGATTACGAAGGGGAAGTTCAAGGCTGTTCCGCATTTCGTACGAGGCGTTCGGCCCTCTATGAGTAATGGAAGGGTGGCGCGAAACACACTCGCAGTATTCACACAGCCCAACCTTGGAGAGGAGGTGGATACAGACCAGCACATAACTTTCGGGGAGTTTGCCAGGGGCGTCGTGAGCAAGAATACGGTCGAGACTCAATCATAACAGCCATCTTTCTTTCGAAGAAAAATGAATATGCATACAGTCGCTCAAATTAATATGCTCCGTAATCACAAGCCAAAGGGCTGTCGGATACAAGCTTCACGAGAGAGTTTATCAGACGCACTGCAGACGACTAGTAGTTGGAAACATCCGGTATGAGTGTTTTGACTAGGTTCGGGTGATAAGTATTATGACTTGGCAAAATGGCGGTAATAAGATGTCCCTAATATGGTCTGATATGAAGAACTTCCCGTAATGATGCCATTGCTGGACGACTCTTCTTTCGGAAACCATAATCCAAACGTGGACGAAAATTCAGGCAGTCCAACTTGTATAGATGTTATTACGCGGAATAAGTCATTGGTTAACTGCAGCAAAATCCTCTTTGTTGTACCTTGAAAGATTGAGACTTATTTGGACAAATGTTTCGAGTGTGGCAAGACATTGCTTAGTCAAACGTTTGCGATGACACCAATGACTCATTGGAAGAGGCTAGGTCTTGGAATAGGGGGCTAGTGTTCACAGTTTCCAACATTATTTGCCTTTATCCAAGAGGACTATGATCTGCTGGTTCCCTTGATACCAATCGCTAAAATAAACATCAGAACAGCATGGTTTTCAAATTCTTAGATGAACTATGTGTGGGTGATGTGGGTGGCGGCGAGCAACGAGGCAATATCCATTGATATTGGTGATGTGTAACTAGAGGAAAAGGACTGCTGGCTGGCAAGGTGAAGAGGCTGGATATCTGGCTGGCAGTGGCCACGTGACCAGACCAACACTATGAGGTCCCAAAATAGGCTATGAAAGTCGAATCGTTCCTTGTCATAGTCGGACCCGGTGCCGAGGACTGAGCTCCGGTAATGCAAAGCCTTACTACCTGACAGAGCAGGTGATGAAAGTCAATTACACCAAAATGAAAGTTTCTACTTGCAAATGACCGTTTTGGCTTTTGCTACTGTTTTCACCCCGGTTTCTCATTTCACTCCCAGTACTGCTTAGGGGCTCACTATTGGCTTGGCTTTGGCTTTCCTCTCCCTTTCGACGCACCCTCTCCATGAACTCTCCGGAATGACAGCGCGGACGTAGCACGGACCAACAAGCTGGTATGTTGAGCTCTCTTCCGTCATGCGAAGAACGAACGGAAGCCGACTCCCAAACAGAACTACCACAATGTCCCATTCCCTGACTGACGAGAGGCCTTTTCGTAGATATCCGCCTGCAGTGGAGAAAAGGTTCGTCAGATGCCCACCTGCTGCCTCCTCGACTCTGACTGCGTATTCCTCCCGGCGCCAATGCAGAGTATCAGGCTCTATTTTCTGCATATCAAGATCCTCTCGAACGGCTTCCTCGAATGTATCTGTCTCGCGAATAGTTGGAGAAGGGTTACATTCATTTGTATGTCTGTTGCTGACTTTTGTCTTTTATAGAACTTGTTGAAATCGTGAATGAATCCAACCGCCAAACGCAACTTGTTCTCTTTCTTGATCGCAGTCGTTTTTGTAGAGGAGTCACCGTACATAGTGATGCTGTAGAGAATTATTGTTTCGAAAAGGGCCTTGAAGGAATGGCTTGCTCGTGGGCGTGCGTGGTGACGGTTCAAGTCGAACTTTTCCATGGCCGAATTGCGCCTTAACTCCCCCTTTCCCAAGAATGCTGTCTCACTGACCGTATCAAAAATGACTCCCTCCACTCTGAGGATTCTTTGACCCGAGGGCGAATCATAAGGAGTATGGTTGTGCTTCCTGTCTTTCGACGCGTTGAAATGCCCCAGGTGACTAGTGGCTAGATACCGTACATCAATGCCGCTCATGCCACGACAATCAGGTGGCCAGGAAGGCAAACCGACGTCCACTCTGTTGTCCGAGTTTCAATGTCCTGCGGTAAGAAGGATTTCCAGATTTCCGTCTTTGTGTATGAGTCTTCTTGTGAAATTCATGCAGATATCACGGGTTGGCTTCGAGCAATCAGCCTTCAACAGAGAGCTCATGTCACTGACACCTATCAGTGCGAACAGTTTGTCTCGGGGATCCGCCGATAGCAAAGTCCTTGTCGGATACAAAACATTCACGATCGTCTTCCGGGCTTCTGGTGGGCTGATAAGGAATTGAGAGATTCGGAAGACCGCCTTGCGAAGCCCCGTTATCCATGTTTTACGGGATTCTGGATATTGCCACCACGTGGGATCAGCAGTGGCATGGCCCAAAGCTCGTAACGTTGACCATCTTGCTGAAAGCGAGCCGCAATGAATAATTGCTTTTCGAGCAAGAACGACTTGTTGGAAAACCCCCACACGGGTCCAATAGGGTCTTTTCAAAAGAAGTGTGAGAGCCTTGGTGGTGTTTTAATCGGCGACGATACTGCGCACCACCCGCCTGGATGACCAGACTCCATCGAGGCCTCGAAGCATCCGCATTGCTATTTCTGATGCTTGCGATTCAGCACCCGGCCATATTCTTACCCGGTCGGCTTGACTGAGTATTTTGCCCATTTGAGCAACTTGTGCGTTCCTTTCATCTGTGTCCTTTTCGTTGAGACAGATACTGACAACCCGAAGCAAAATGTCCTCGTCTTGTCGACTAAGATGTTGCAAAGCCACTAGCAAATTATTTGTTATGTTCAGGAAGTAGCCGTTGGCGGTAATAGCATCGCTCTCTGCACCGTCGGCCCAAGTATACAAGAGCGCGTCATACCGAACGATAGGGTCATCAAATTCGTGGATGGACATTTGGATATCAACAAGGGACGATGAGGATGTAGCTACTAGCTAGCTTTAGCCTCAAAAGACGAAACTCGTCCGAACGAATCGGTAGTGACAGGTAAACTTAATTGAATACTCAGCTCATCTACGACCGGATCAATCAAACCACGGACGCTTACGGTGATGAAAGCTTCTACTCGGTGCAGTATTGGGAATCTGTTCCTTCGAAACCCGTTCTAATTAGGTATTCATGGCTAAATCTTTGCTGCATATATTGATAAATAATGGAGTCTCGGCCAGCCCAGCCTATCTCAGAGGCTCTGTACAGATAGCGGTGGAGAAAAAGAGGTGTTTGGGTATGGTCATGAGAAATATCTTTGATGTGTGGTGGTGAGAAATATTACTGGGATGGGCGTTACAAGCATCGCCGACAAGAATGGTGTGTTTTTTTACGAGATGTCCCGGCTTCCCATAGCAACCACAGCGGTCGATAGCGTGTTTGTAGTACAAGCAACGGTAAGCGCTGTAAAGCTCTTCGATTTGGTAGCATATTTGAAAAAAAAAAAAAGGGGGGGGGGGTAGAAGAAGAGAAGACTGATAGAAGAGCTGATAGTGGGGCACTATGTATTGAAATTCCAACCCCTTATGTACCTACGCTGAGTGCATTGGGTGCTGTTTGTGGATGTGGCAGTGTTCCTACTGTTCCAAGCACCTAATCGTGCGGTAGGTGGTTAACACGCCATGGAAATCTACCGGTCCACGTACTGTTGTTAGACGGCAGGCTTTCCGTTGGGCGTCCTGCGCGATGATATGTACCATGTCTGCCTAATCGTACCTATGTAATTGGCAGACAGCTCTATAACGATAGTGTGTCATGTCACCACCTTAACCACCTTCACGAGTGGCCTATTTGCAGGTCGCGGTCTTCAAAGTGGTCGCTGCCAGAGCAACCTCCGTGGCAAAGTCGGCCAAACAATGCAGTGTGGGCTCAGTTGAGCCAACACCGAGCAGTAGGATGTGTCTCGGGCCTGACAGTCTTCCGCACTCGGATGGAGGGCCTTCAGGCCAGCTGCCTTAAAGACCATCGTATGGTCATTTGAACCGATAATGGGTGTAAGCGCCGTGGGCTGGGACTATCGCAACAGGGCACCATAATGTCGTTAGAGGCGACTCTGGTAACTGCTGCACCGAGAAACAAAGCAAAACATCTCAAGACCACCTGGGTACCAAGCTGCAGGTTTAAAAACGGACAAAAAAGCACCCATGCGAGCGCCGGAAAATACAGAGTGATAGATTCAGTAAGGGCATGACAGGAATTTCAAGGTCTACAAGAAGGGGGTTTTAGCACTCACCTATGCCGTTTGACATTGGTTTCGGCAGAAGAGGTACCAAGGACTACCACTAGTAGTATTTGACTGTGATTATGAGATAATTAGGCGTCCCCACTTGACCTGCCGTCGCTCACCGCATCGGATCTGAAATGGAGCGGCCGGCCGGCTGTGGGCTTGGCAATCCTTTGCCAGGCATACACGGCTTCAACCCAATGATTCTACCGAGCCGTATTGTCCTTTATCAATGGACGTGAATATAGGCCCCAATAGGGCATACAGAAGAACACGCATCGGGCCTACCCCTCCATGTCCAGTACATTATTCAAAACTCATGTGTGTTTCATATTTCTCTCCGTTTCCGATCTTGTAATAATCAGGCTGGCAACGCTTATTGGTAATCATCCAAATCTACATTGTGGTTTGGCACAGAAGTCGTCGTCGCATTTTCCAAGTGTAGCGTGCCCAGGGAACATTAATTACACAAACCCCGGACTTCTGTCTTGAAAAGGGATGCGGGTGGGTACGGCAGCCTGCAGGGCGCACTGGTCCAAAAGTCAAACGGTTACTACACCTACCCTATTAGTTTCTAGAAACACTGCATATTATTAATCTAACCTGTATATAACTAATTAGTCTTTTAAATAAATTATCCTTTTAGATATATTTATATTACTCTGTATAGCCTAGAATATTATAGTTCTATTTACCTAGATACCTTAATTATCTAATTAGTCTATAAATAGGGAAGTGTATGCCCTAGAGTATATACCTAATAGAAGTATATACCTAAGGCTAATTATAGGCGCTTTACCTTAACTATAAATATATTTTTCTTTACTTCTAAACTTCTCTTCTTTTTTTTATACTTAATTTAGAGTATATAAGTGACCTCTAACTATATACTCTTGTTAACTTTTATTTAATTTATTTATCTTATTTACTTATTTATTTTACTTTTTAATTATTACTAAACTAATGTTTTTTTTATAGATTTTTATATATTTATATATTCCTAGAGGTGCCTAGTGTTACCTTATATATTTAATAACTTCCCTATATATCCCTATATATCTTTATATATTACTATATATTACTATATATTACTATATAATCCTATAGGTCTTTATACTTCTGTCTATGCCTATTACTAACTATATAACTTTTATACGTTTATATAGACTTATATATTATAGCTAAGCTTATCTTAGAAGAGATTAGAGGTATATAGCTTCTAGTAGATAACGCTATTCCTATATAGCTTAGTAATAATTCTACTAACGTAGAAATTACTATATACTATTATAAGTGTATATATATATTCTTATATATTTCTACTTTATTTTATACTAATCTATATAGTTACTATTAAGTATACTTCTTAGTAAGTTATTACCTAGTTCTTTAATATAAAAGACACTTCTATAAGTTTATATATATATTCCTTCTATAAGTGTTAATATCTATATAGCCCTATATACTTAATCTCTATACAAAAGTGTCTAATAGTATCTATACTAAGCATAAACTTAAGTATAAACGTGTATAGAACAGTAACTTAATCCTAATATAGGTGTATAGAACTATACGCCCTAGTTTAGAAGCTTACGCTAGTTACTAGAAAGGTAATAGTCTATATATAACTTATATAGTTATCTTAAATACTACTGCTTATACTAACTATACTTATAACTCTAGTATAAGTGCTTATAGCTTTAGTAAGTTCTATATATTTCTAGCTAGTATTTATATATACTTATACTTATATATAGTTCTAGGTAATTATAAGTAATCTAGTAGTAAGCTATTTACTTTACGTAAGTCTAAGGCTATTAAGGCTACCTATATAGAGATAGACTTTCTTATATAGATCTATAGGCTTAAGCCTAAGTATATACACTATATTAGTAATATACTTATTTCTATAGTAGATAAGCTTAAGTCTATAGGCTATTATATATATCTATATAACCTTAGTCTTTATTTATATATTTACTAACTTTTATATAGGTGCTAATAATCTTATTAACCTTTTAATCTAGTCTAATAGTAATAGTAATAGTTATACTTAATCTATATACATCTATATATATCCTAGCTAATTTAATACTTTTATATATACTTTTATAGTAGTAGTTAAGAAGATAACAGAAGATATAGGGGTTTATAGAAGAATATAGGCCTTTATAAAAGGATATAGGAGTTTATAGGTCTTAGAGGGATATATATATTTAGGTAATACAGTATATACTTAGCTAGTTTTTTATAGTAAAGCGTAGAGTTTAGTAAATAAGGTTAGTTTTTTATAGACCTAGGCACCCTTGTATACTCTTGTATATTAGTTTTAGCCTACCTAGGTCCTTATGTTTCTAGGTTTTTAGATACCTAATCTTATAGTTCTATATATAAAGATTTTTCCTTTGTATACCTCTGTATAGACCTATGTATCTTAAAATTTTTTCCTTTAAAATACCTTAGACTAGTTACCTATTATATAACCTTGTATAGTATTCTATACTTATTTAAGAAAAGTTAAATTCTAGATAAACTTATATAGTAATTATTATATACCTATTAAAAAATTATTAACTTTAAGTTTCTTTTACTACTTTTAAATAATTCTTACTTTTAATTAACTATTACTATAAAGTCTATATATAATTCTTAGTTCTTTTACTTTAATGTATTTTTAAGCTTTTTTTTAACTACTGTCTTTCTAATTAGAATATTCTTGCTACTTTATATACAGAGGGATTTTAAATCTTATAATATAGCCTTAAAGATATCTAAAGATACTATTTACTATAGTAATACTAAACACCTAAATAGCTTTAAGCTATATATTATAGTATAGTTTAGTACCTTTTATTAGAAGATAGTATAGTAAATATAGTCTAAGACCTAGGCTATAAGTTTCTTTATACTTTTATACACTAATATAGCTATATTATTAGCTAAGACATCCTTTATAAAGCCTATTATTAAGTTTTTTTTAAAAATATACAAGAACATCTAAAAGAGCTCTAGTATTAACAGAAAAGTTAGACTATACTAAGGCCTAACTTTATTTAGTTAATTAATGCTTATAATAAGCTACTTTTATTTAGGTTTAAGATATATACTGCTATTAATATATACTTCTAGTATATTATATAGTTTTATATAGGGTTCTCTATATATACTACCTAATCTATACTTACCTAGTACCTTTCTGTTATTCTTAAATAAAAGTATATACCTTTTACTATTTATTTAGACTATAGTATAGAAGTAGCCTTTACTATAGGAAGGCATTAGTATCTTTTATAAGAGTATATAAAATATATACTATCTTAACTAAATATAAATATTTTTATAACCTTTTATAATTATTAGGTCTTTAGTAAAAGTATCTATAATATTAAGATTAAGAGTTAGTAGAATTAATTATATTAGGCCTAATCTATATAATAAAAGGTAAATACTTACTTGTCTATATATATATTCTAAGATACTTATACTTTATATAAGGATTCTTTTATTAACTATAGTCCTTATAACTCTTTTCTCTAAATTCTTTTTTTAATTAGATTACCTTACTTTTTATCTATATACTACTCCTTTATAAGGACTTTTCTAACTTTATATACCTCTAGAATAATTATTATATTTATATATAAAAGAATTAGCCTTATAGTGTCTATAGCTAGCCCTAGTTACTTTTTTACTAGCCTAATTAGACTTCTATAATTAATTTTATATAGAAGGTTAATCTTTTAAAAGTACAAGAAATACTTATAGTGCTTAAACAGGATAGTATAGATCTTAATCTATACTTACCTATATAGATAATATAAGTCTATAAAGATATTCTTAGTTCTAGAGAGACTTTTTTACTTATTATAAAGTTTTATAGTTTAAAGTACCTTTGTATTAAGGTATATAACTTCCTATAGTAACATTTAAAGATATATATTATCTTAAAGGCATCTCTAGAGGTTTCTCTATTAGAGAAGTAAAGTAGTAAAGTTAAGTAGGTAAAGGTATAATTTATTATACTTAGGATTAATTTATAGTAAATCTTTATAAAGTAGTTAACTTTATTTTAAACTAGAAGGTAAACTCTCCTTTAGTTTAACCTATATACTCTCTTGTATATCCTTTATCTAATCTTTATTCTTAATACTATCCTATATAGCTACCTCTTAATCTTTACTTCCTATATTCTTTACCTTTAAGTATATATACTTTTATAATTTTACTTATAAGTTTACCTCTAGAGCTTTAAGTGTTAGTTTTTATTCTATTCTAGTCTAAATAGTGCTAAGGTGTATAGGTGTAGGCTAGACTTTCTTTTACTATACAAGAGTAGGTAGCTTTAGCTAGTAGTACTTAAATTATTGTTTTTTTAAAACTTAAGGCTTAGAGATAGGTAGTTTAATTTATATTTTAGATATAAGTATAATAGTAAAGTTATCTTTCTTACTAAAAAGTAAAGTCTTATAAAGAAACGTTTAGAGATTAAGGGCTTTATATATAGCACTATAGAACTCTATAATATCTAATAGGTTCTTTATATTAATTAGAATTACCTTTTACTTATGTCTAAGAAAGGCCTTATCTAAAGTAAACTTTATAATAAAGTACTTTATTATATTAATATATAAAGTATACTTTATAGTTAATAAGAATTATAACCTCTTGTTAAACTTCTTAAGGTATTATATATAAGTGTATATATAAAAACTAAGGCTATTAATATCTACTTTATAATATAAGGTAACCTAAAGACTAATATTAATATAGATAGTTAGGTCCTAAATTAGCTAGTTCTTTGTCTATTATATACTTACTTTATACTCCTATAAGCCTTTAATAATTACTATAAAGAAGCTTATTAAAGGTTTTATATCTAGGATATATAGTATAGACTTAGTTAGGTTTATATTATTTTTAGGTAGTTATAATTAAATACTAGTAGAGGATTTTAGGAGTTTAAAGATATTTTTATTAATTAAGGTAAAGTTAATTATAGGTAGTTCTTAGAGGATAGTTAAATTAAGAGAATAAAAAGGGCAAAAGTACTACTTATAGAGTAACTTTACTATAAAATAGTTAAGGCTATCTTTTTTAAGACACTTTAATACTATCTTATACTAAATAGTATATATTATAGGTGTACAAGTCTATATATAAGTGTATATAAGCTATATAGATTTTATCTTTATATAGATAAGGCTTATAAATGCTATATAGATAAATTACTATCTGTAAAGTAATATTGCTGCTATCTATACACTGGTGGTGGCCCTAGTACTGATCAGCAACCTAATTAGGCAAGTTCTGACTTTTGGACCAGTGCGCCCTGTAGGCTGCCGTAGGTGGGGTCATGATTGCGATCGGACAGCAGAACAAACAGTCTTGATACGAATAAGCAAACTGTTTAGTTGCTGTATTCGTCCATTATCCCGAAGATGTGCTATTGGCAATGTATGCAGCCAAGACCGACTAGTCACAATGATACCGTATCCACTGGTTAGATCCGGACAAAGCTAGAGAAGCACGCTAACGGCAAGGAGTATCGCGGCCGCTGTAAGGAGTATAGTGTGCTGGCAGAAACAGGGATCTGTATATATCTATTTTCTTACGTAACGGTTGTGTTCTCACTAACGGCGGGCTGGCTAGTGGGCTGGAAGGGGTGACCGCCTTCTATGCTAGGACTAGCGTGGCTAACATCCACTAGCCGTTATAGGACATCTACTAGCTTTCTCTGGCTAGCGGGCTTCCTAGCTTTGTCCGGATCTAACCAGTGGATACGGTATTAGAGATGTGTACAGTGCAACGGCGTTCTCGCCGTTTTCCAACTTCCCACATCAGTAATTATCGTACGCAATGCTCCCGAAAACAGATCGAAAAGTGCTAATTGGGAAGGACGTCTTCTATCCCTCCGACAGCACCATACTTCTTGTCCGGAGTGCACCGGATTGTCTTGCTGCACTCCAACCGCCTTCGATCGCCCTATAACTGACAACCTCGGTTCATCCAACGCATGACCACCCTTACAAATCGGGGAATTAGCTATCCGGGTAGAGCGGCGCTCCATAGATCGTTATTCTCCTACCCCGCAAACAAAAGTCCACAAGGCTCGCATCTCCCCTCACGATCAAGCGGGTCTGATTGACCAGTGGTAACGGTATATCAAGATAGTTATAGTGTTACGGGTCAAAAGGATTCAAAGACCTCGGGCTTGGGGAATGCTTTTTGTGCTTAATTTGGAACCAATGCCGAAGCCTGTTGGATTGCACACTCGAGCCCCCAGTTAGCTCTCCCATTTGAGGTCACCTTCTCGCCAGGACGAGGGACTAACCAGGCGCGGAAGCTCGTCGACGGACTCCTGCACCAATGCCGGTTGTCCGATGACAAACTTACTGTGCGTATATGGAATATGGCGGAATATCAATTGCGTATGCTCGTTAGGAACCGGCTTTCTTTTTCTTCGCTCAATGTGGGCCGCCTGGGATAGCCCTTGACGAGACGTACATACATCATGCATTAACCCTCCCCAGCTTATTGAAGCACGTTGCTCCGGCCGGGCCGCGTTGTTAACCCAGATGCAGCGGTGAGTGGTACGGTTCTACTGAGGAGGAACGATTAGAGACCTTCCGAACAGGGAATCATTGTTATTCTTGTTGCCTTCTTGGCGAGTGTGGTGGTCATTTTGCGATGTAATGCGCCGACAATTCGTTCAAATACCTCGCTTTTCCCTGGGCATTCTGCCTGAATCTCTTGGCCTACGATTGCTACAATTCTCATACCTTCCACGATCCGACCCTCGAACCCTCGCCCGGCAGCAGCCACAACTTGTAAGACAAAACCCATAGTTCCCCAGACCATAAAGATGAGGACCGCCACCGCCTTCGCCGTCGCCGGCTTCCTCGCCGCTAGCGCTTCGGCGCAGGACTCGGCGACCACCTGCGCCACTGGCGTCCACCTCATCGTGGCTCGCGGCAGCAACGAGCCCGCCGGGGTCGGTAGGATCGGCTCCGTCGCTAATGGCGTCGTGGCCGCCATCCCGGGGTCGCAGATTGAGGCCATCAGCTACCCCGCGACCTTTGACAACTATTCCACCTCGGTCGCGACTGGTACCGGGGCCATGAAAATCGCCTTGACGCAATATAGCTCGCGGTGTCCAGACTCCAAAATCGCACTGCTGGGCTATTCCCAGGTGAGTTTGTTTGTCAAGGCGGGAGCGGCTGGATTCGAAGGTTAAGACGGGGTTGAATTGAGTTTTCTGGGATCCCCAACTGACACGCACGAACCCAGGGCGCGCACGTTGTAGGCGATACCTTGTGTGGCAATACGGAGGACAGGGACATCGACAACATGGACTTTGACTTCAACGTCACGACTCCTGTGGCGGCGTCTGTGGTAGACCACAGTGGTGGGTTTGCCTTCTTCATCTAGAAACTCTCTCGAGAAAGAAAAAGGAATAAAAGGAATCTTAGGCTGACAGGATCGAACTCGCAGTCATCGCCGCCATTCTCTTCGGGGACCCAACACACGACACCTCGGCCTCTTGGAATAGGGGCACCAGCACCCGAGACGGGGTAAGTCGCCTTGTTTGATTTTGACGCCCGCTTCAGGTTGTTCCTTTCTACGCAAGCGCAGCTGCTGACCCGTATTCTCCTCTTCCAGCTCTTCCCCCGTGAGAACGTCACGGCGTGCGAGAGCTACGCTCCCAAGATCGAGTCCTACTGCGACATCGGAGACATCTACTGCGATCTCGGCAACGACACCACTGTCCACGGGTCCTACTTCAGCAAATACACCATCAACGCCGTTGAGTTCATCGTCGCCCAGTTCAATTCCACAAAGCCTTCAACCAACGGTACGTCGCCCACGACCACACCGAAGCCTGTACCGGCATCTGGATCCGCTCTCTCGGCCCCCGCCATGCTTACGTCCCTGGTTGGTCTGTCGGTACTTGTGACTCACCTGCTGTGAGAGCTATTGGTATTAGTTAATTTATGATTGATGTGGATAATTCAGCACGGTTTCGCAAGCACAGCTGCGTAGATTCCCAATAGTGAAAGCCACGATTCGATACTATGAAATATGCTAGGATTGTCCACGTTTCGAGACCCTCAGGTGCCTATCTTGCGTGGAACCACCACAAGCTCTGCGGAACCAGAAAGAGTTTGGCAAGTCGTGTCTGCCGTGCAGCCCCGATGACGTTCAAGAACCATATGTATGGTTCATGACGATGCAAAATGGCCCGGTGTCCTGTGGGACATGCGCAGCAGAAAATTTGCCCGGGCGATTTGCTATCAAGTTGCTCATCGACCCTCATAAAGCAACACTTAGCTTGATACAAAAACACAGGGTAATTAAAGGGTCCATTCAAGGCCGGCTGACAGGGTATTAAACTTCTCCCAGCGTCATAGCTACCATCTAATATTCAGATTACATGTAAGAAAGTTATACGCGCAGACACTCCTCTGCACTTTTGTCTAGGGCTCATATCCATTCTCTTCCATCTTAGACCCCTCTCCTTCTCATCTCAGCATTATGTGCGCCGCATGAACCTCATCTTCATGGGATGTGTTGGCATTGCGGGTGCGGCCGACGCCTCGGCGGGTTTGTGGACGGGCATCGCTGCCGCTGGAGGAGTGTGAACCGGCATAACCTCCGCGGGTGGTGTGTGTACTGGCATGACCTCGGCAGGAGGTGTGTGTACTGGCATGGCCTCGGCAGGAGGTGTGTGTACTGGCATGGCCTCAGCGGGCGGCGCCTGGTGAGCAGGGGGTGCCGCCTCCGCAGGAGGCATCATATGTACAGGAGCCGCCGGTGCTGGGGGCGGGGGGGTATGAGACGGGGGGGCGGGCATGTGGGGATTGGCCGGTGCCATTGTATGGTGCGCAGGCGGAGCAACCTGATGAGCAGGAGGCGGGGCCGGCATCGAGTGGACGGCGGGTGGAGGAGAGGGCTGGTGGCCCAGGACGGGAGCTGCAACAGTTGTAGTGCAATGGCTCACTGTTTGAGTGAGATGGACAGTCTCCTTGACAACGTGGGGAGGCAGAGTGACATGAACGGTCTCCTTGACGATCTGGGGAGGCAATGTAACGTGAACCGTCTCCTTGACAATCTGAGGCGCTTGCGTAAGAACCTGGGCTGGCTCGGTGACATGGACTGTCTCCCTAACAGTCTCCTTGACAACCTGAGGAGGCAATGTGACGTGTACTGTCTCTTTGACAACCTGAGGTGCTTGCGTAAGAACCTGGGCTGGCTCTGTGACATGGACTGTCTCCCTAACAGTCTCCTTGACAACCTGGGGAGGCAAAGTGACATGGACTGTCTCCTTCACAATCTGAGGTGCTTGCGTAAGAACTTGGGCTGGCTCTGTGACATGAACTGTCTCCCTAACAGTTTCCTTGACAACCTGAGGAGGCAATGTGATGTGGACTGTCTCCTTGACAATCTGAGGCGCTTGAGTGATAACTTGGGCTGGCTCAGTAACGTGAACTGTCTCCTTAACAATCTGAGGAGGCAATGTAACGTGAACTGTTTCCTTAATAATCTGAGGTGCTTGCGTGAGGACTTGGGCAGGCTGAGTGACATGAACAGTCTCCTTGACAGTCTCCTTAACAACCTGGGGAGGCAGTGTAACATGGACTGTCTCCTTGACAATCTGAGGTGGCTGCGTGACAATCTGAGGCGGCTGAGTGATATGGACTGTCTCCTTCACAGTCTGAGGAGGCAACGTAACGTTAATAGTCTCCTTAACCACCTGAGGAGGCTGAGTAACGTGGATAGTCTCCTTTACAGTCTGAGGAGGTAACGTCACGTGGATTGTTTCCTTGACAATCTGGGGTGGTTGCGTGACAACCTGAGGTGGCTGAGTCACATGGACTGTCTCCTTAACAATCTGGGGTGGCTGAGTGACGTGGACCGTCTCCTTCACCGTCTGAGGAGGAAGCGTCACATGTACTGTCTCCTTCACAGTCTGCGGTGGCTGGGTGACGTGGACTGTCTCCTTTACAGGAGGCAAGGTAACATGAACGGTTTCCTTGACGGTTTGGGGCGGTTGAGTAACATGGACTGTCTGAGGAGGCAAAGTCACGTGGACTGTCTCTTTGACAGTTTGCGGCGGTTGAGTGAGGTGAACTGTCTCCTTAACAGTCTTCGGCGGTTCGGTGACGTGCACTGTCTCCTTAACAGGAGGCAACGTAATGTGGACGGTCTCCTTGACGGTCTTGGGCGGCTGGGTAACATGAACTGTCTCCTTGACGGGAGGCAAGGTAACGTGAACCGTCTCCTTGACGGTCTGAGGCGGTTGGGTGACGTGGACTGTCTCTTTGACGGTTGTCGAGACGGTTTGGTGGATGGTCTTGACTTCGCTGACTGTGACAGGTATAGTCGTGTGGATCGTGGTCGGAACCGTCACATGAACCGTTTCCTTTCCCCCCGGGATGGTGACATGAACGGTCTCGCGTATCGTGGTAGGGACGTGGACGGTCTCGGTCTGGACGACTGTCTCGGTTTTGACCTCGCACTCCTGCTTCCCGGCGGCGGCCAACGTTGAGAAGGCGAGCCACGACAGGACTCCGTATCGCGAAAGCATCGTGTCGGTCTAACAGGGACCGGGTCGTGTAGGAAGCTCGAAGGGTCGTGTTCGGTAAGAGAAAAGGAAGGTGAGACACACAAGAAGGAATAAAAGAACGTATGAGGCTCGCCTCTGATCGAAGTGGAGATACCGGTCTCTAGAAGAATGAAACGAAATAAACAAACGACAGCGAGCTGGGCGAGAGTGGTCGCCTAGTGCTGCAAAGAAACGAATGAATAAAGGAGGGCGCGTATATGAAGGAAAGAGGTCACAGTCCTGCTGGTCACCGTAGACTACGAGAGGGAGGTGGGATGTCATTATATCGGGAGGGATCTGGTTCGTTTGATTGTCTTGGCTGACCAGCATGAGCCGCAAAGGCCGGCACCGGGAAGATCGGATGGCACTGGGCAGGTGTGGACCTGCCCATCCGGATCTTACCCAGGACTGAGCGGGCTGGGCAAGGGCGTGTTGGAGTCTGGATGAAGGAGACGTCCTCCATGGAGCGGCTCCAGTGGGAGTGTTTGAGAAGATACAAAGTCCGACTTTGGGTCACTAACACTGCAGGCGAGATGTGCGTGACGACAGTGGTAGCGAGGGCGGGATACAAGGTCACTACCAAGTCATCTTGGGTGTCTGTCCGGGGTCGGGACGGTATCAAACGTAGCGGTGCCATCTGAAGAGTGATGGGACGATTCTGGGAGAAGGGATGAAGAGCAAGGAACCGTCTGTCTGTTTTGGCTTTGCGGCCCTTGCAGGGGAGTTTGGCCAGGGCTGAATCTAAACTGACAAGTTAGGTCGAGGGAAAGGCCAGGCAAGTACGGAGTTGAGGCCTAGTTCGCGTACTTTGGACGCTAGTGACTGTCAGGGGTGGTCGTCTTGGCTGACAAGGGCTCCTTTTGGATGAGAAGAGGTAGACCGGAACTGAATCCTGCCGTCGGTGAAAAAGTGATATATGGCTCTGTGCTGGCTTGAGCTGGGGCATGAAACTCGATATCGTCAGACGATTGGGGAGCTGAATGGGTAGCCTGGTTGTTGTGGTGATCGCGAGAGGATCACGGCTGTGAGATGTTATGCTGGCTCTTGGAAACGCATATGATGAGAGGAACTCGGGAACGATGGACCTGAGTGTATGTATACATTGTGCTTTGTACCACCACGACAACATTGGGGTTCGGTACAGCAAATAACATTACATGGCAAGCGTAATCCCCGAATCCCTAGCCGGTTAGTCACACAATGTAAGAAGAAAAAATCGTAGTCTCGGTAGCAAACCCGAAGCCGTACAGAAATGTTTTCTTCTCCACAGACAGTCCCCCACGAACGACACCTGACACACGTCAGCAGCACCTCGTATGGCCCTTTGGGTCGTTCCTCTCGAGGAAGAGACGAACGATGAGCAGGGGTGTATGTGTGTGGCGTTCAAGGGGGACGGCAGGCCACAGCACTAGTGTAACTACCGGTACCAGGTGCTGGAAAGGGAGCTTGCCAAAGTTCCAAGCTCTTAGTGCGTATGAGGAGCTGGCATTTCCTCCATGTTGAGCCACCCGAAACTCGCGCCAAGATACAGCCCCTGTAAGAGCTACGGATACAGCCCTCAACATGGCAAAGCGAGCAGAAAACAGGGAGGCTCCGAGCACAATCAGACCAAGCTCCGCTCGTTAGCATGTGCGGGCAAGGGTCATTCAGGGCGAAAGAAGGAGTTCGGTACGGTTCCGAGGTTTCGCGGCGCTGGACGAATGGCTTGGAAGCCCTAGGAGGCGAAGGGAGGCGTTGACGAAATTAGAGGTGAGAACAACAGAGTTTGGGTTAAGCATTAAGGTTATTTCGCCAGGGTCGTACCTCCAGTGGCCAGTGACCTCATCTGGGGCCCCGTCTGCACTGCAACCCTCCGCCCTAGCTTGGGTCGGCTTCAAGGTAATCCGGCCCCTTGACAAGGGCCGGCGTGCGGCACGAGGGAACGACGTTGGAGGATTTTTCATTCTAGTGTACACCATTGGCCGCGTAGACTTCCCAACCCTTTCCGCTCGAATGCCGAAAGTGTCTTGGCGATATTCCCTGGTTTCCCAACTTGACCGAAGTCTCCCGCAGGACGGAACGACGGGGTGCTCCTGTGCGTCACTTGCGCGGAGTCAGACTGCTCCCAAACAACATACCCGTACAATAATTACAGGCGCGGAATGGAAACGGGAAGGCTCTCTGTTGTCCTGAGGGTTCTACAAGGGTTTGCTCAGGTGTATGCTAAATAGTCTCGCGTACGTAAACCGCTGATTCCTTCGCTGCGACTCCTCTGCGAGTGCATCTTTCCAGAGAATGTTGTGGATCAGTTACCCACTGATTGATGGGTTTTTGTGTAATTAGCTGAATCCTGATCCAGAGATGTGCATAAAGCTGCAATTGATATTCGTGCTTGCACAGCAGCAGTCACTGTCTTGATTTGTGCATGATCAAGTGCTGGCGCTGGCCTTGCTTGGAAACCTCGTATCTTGTGTTTCTGCCCCTGAAGCCAAGCATGATGAGAGGCTTCGGACTTGGCAGCGTGGCACTGCCAAGTTCTGCTTCCCACACACCCACACTCTTCGGGATACCAGGGCTGGTAGCCCATCCGCTGCCATCGCACACAGAATGCAGGATATCTCTGACTCGACATGAGTGCAGGCAGCGATGACTGTCTGGTCTTATGGCCACATAAAAAGCCCAGAGATCCCTCCTGGACCTTGATCTACCTACTCTGCGTCTTGAGGGCAAACGGCATAAACCTATTCGGAATGCCGTGCAGTCCAACCATTCATATGTTAGCAAGACCTAAACCACAGCCGGTAGGTTCGTTCATCTTTTTTCTATTTACACTCATAAGCCTCATGCCATAAGTGGCGGAGCATGACCCCTGACGAACTATCCCGCGCTCCACAGACCTCTGCGGCACCAGTACTTTGCATCCGTAGAGAGTACTCGGGACCGCGTAAGTCTTTGCCCCTGATGGCAGTTCAAATGGTATCTCAAACATGCTAGCCACATCTGGTCTACGTATACGGAAGAAGATACGTTCCGGATATCCTGAGATGTGCCTAAGGCGGCTCCTAGCTTGGTACTCAACAGACATTGCCGCTAAGAAACTACTGAACTGGATACCGTCTCCTGCCCCACATTGGCCCAAACAACTCGTACTATAGCAGGCCCAGATGAGCTATAGATATCCAATCACGGGACCTACCTGGCTCGACAAAGGGGTACGATAACGCGGACGGCAGCGGAAGGGTTAAGGAATCTTGGGCAGATAAAGTTTAACCGATAGATGGTAATTAGTGGCTGTGTTGCTGCTTGCCTCACTCAAAAACGACCTCTGGTTCAAACATGACAGGCGACTTACGAAATAGACTTTACAGCTAATACTACAATAACATAGCCGGTGTGGGGACAGTATCCAGCTTCCTCCTGGTTAGTGGTTGAATCCGACCTTAATTTGACGTATATAGCAAATCGGTCTGTAATAATAGCCGTTATGGCTGGAGCCAGATTGTCTCTTCCGTGAAACAAAAAGTCCCTGGTTATATAAACATTATAGACATCGTCACTTATTTCATCATGCCAAAGCAGTTGCTTGTAAAATGTGGAACCAAATTTGTTTCTGGCGGCTCAGGACTACCATCATCACCCAAATATGTGGCTGGAAGCCAAACAATCAGTAAGCAGCGGACTGAGCTTCTTGGTGCGCTGGCATGAAAACCAGAGTAGGCGTTTGATTCCAAAACAAAAGATGAATACAGTACAAGCTTTATTGACGAGCTTTGTTACGAGCTTTGTTGAGCTGGGGTTGCATTGAAATAAATGACTGAGAAATGAAAAGTCAAATGGTGTTGGAACACTAATCCGACCATATTCGTACGCATGAGTCAGTTGCCAGAAGGTCTAATATATACTTGGCCACGTTTCCAGCCAGCCAGACCACTAGACTTAGAGAACTAATGCCTTTTACAACCACGTCTTGTTGATGCATTAACCTATCTATAGTCCTTCTAACAAATGAAGTATTTGGCATTCATGAAAATTTCAGCACGCGACTGGCAATTCTACTTTTAAGTTGCATAGTTAAAAACAAACACAGAGATATATAGTTATATCTTTGTTTTTTCCCCCTTTTCTTCTTGTTTCTTTCTTAAAAGGGTCTTCCTATTCTGCTAGAATTGTTAAAAACAAAAAGCTTGCCTATTATTAGTCCCTTTGCTTTAAGAAAGGAATTAACATAACTATAGATAACATTTATGCCTCTGCTTAGAAATTAGAGAGTACTAAGCTATTAGAGGGGTTATATATTACAGTCAGTAATCCAACAGTAGGGTTTCCGCTAGGAATAAGCTGGGGTCAATACTTAGTTAACAGTAGTGTAGGCTTACTAGTCTATTAATTACTTAGTGATTAGTTAGGTAGTTAATAGTTATAAAGGTAGCTTATGTAGCTCTTGTTAATTAAATCACTAGGGTAAGATACTAAAAGGTATTTAAAGAATATATTATAAAGTTAATTACTAAAGAGCTATAAAAGTCTGTCCTTAAGTATATTTAAGTTTATCCTATATATAAGTTTATTCCTTCTGTTAGTATATAAGGCTATATATTTAAACTATAGCACCTATATATTTTCTATATAGCGCCTATATACTAAGTATATAGCTTTTGTATTTCTAATATATAGATCTTATTTAATCTTATTATTATATAACTTATACTATAGTTCTTTTATATCTATAAAAGTTATCTTGTCTACGCCTATCTATTAGTTCTATATAAATACTATTACTACCTACTAGTTACTTTACTAAGTAAGGCAATATTACCTATAACTTATTAGGTTATAACATTAGGTCTCCTCTCTTAAAGGTCTTGCCCTTAAGACCTATATAAGTAGGTTATATCTCCTAGGTTAAGGAGTTATTAATTCTGCTTTCTAATCTACCTATAATACTAACACTATATTAGGTTACATAGAAAAATCAGGATTAAAATTAGCACTTTATTTAGTGTATAATTATATTTTTTAATAGTTTAGTTCTTTTAACGTTATACTTTACACCTAGTGCTTTTATACTAGTTATATTTATTAAATAGCTAAAGAGGCTAAAGTTTATTAAGGTTATAAAAACTTAAAGTGTCCTTATAATAGAATAGTAGTAGCATTAAGTTATAA